TATGGCATGCATGACCTCCATGCCATCACCCTTGAGGAACCGAAGCCAGGCGCTTCCCTATCCCCCACATCCCCCCCCCCCCTTACCTGCAGGATGTCGGCTGCGGCGGTGGCGTCCAGGCCGCTGGTCGGCTCATCCATGAACAGGATGGAGGGCTTGGCGGCCAGCTCCAGGCCGATGGACACACGCTTCCTCTGCCCGCCGCTGCAGGGACGTGAATGGGGGGAGGAACATGTGTGCTTGCAGTGGGACCCCTGGGGCCTCATGCAAGCACTGGCGAGCCGGCGGCAGAAGATACGGAGCAGTGCTGCAAGGCAAGCTTCATTCCAGGCCTGTCAAGCCGCTGCCATTCCCTCCACCACAGCGCTCTTCCAGCCATGCACCGCGCCAAACCATCTTGCACCAAAGACCCCCTGTGCCCGGCCCAAGCCTTGACCCGAATCCCCAAGGGGTATTCCACTCCCATGCTCAACCCCCCTCCCCCCACCACAACCGCTCGCCTGATGCCTCGCCGCTCCACGCTGCCCACGATTTGGTGTTGGACGTGGCGCAGCTGCAGCACATCCAGCACGTCGTCCACGATGTCCATCTGCTCCTGGCGGGGCTTGCTGGTGGACAGGCGCAGGCGCGCGGAGTACACCAGGTTCTCACGCACTGTGAGATCTTCGTGCACCAAATCCTCCTGCGGCACAAAGCCAACCACGCTCTGCAGGTCGGGAATGCCCACCGACCGGCCATTGATGCGCAGCGAGCCTGTTGCTTGTGGGGTGGGGGGTGGAGGGTGTGAGGGGTGGTGGGACCTTGCCAGAGGTTGGCGGTGGCGTGCGGGGACCAGACAGGCAGGGCAGTCACAGGTGCGGGCGGCGGAGGGATGGAGGAAATGCTGCCGTCGGTGGTCTGTGGGCTCCAGCGCTGATGATATGATCCCCCCTCCCACCCATGTACATACCGACATGAAGTCCTTTCTCAAACAGCGTGATCCCACTCACCCATTGTCTTCCCGTGGGAGGAGGACTGTCCCATGAGGACCGACAGGAAGGTGGTCTTCCCCGCGCCACTGGGGCCCATCACCGCAGAGACCTTGGAGTGCTCAAACCTGCGAGGGAGTGAGGCATGGGGTGGGTGGGATTGGTGGACTTGCAAGGGCAGTGGCACGCCTGTTCGAGCTGCTGTGACAGCCGGGGGCCAGGCAGTAGACAGTTTTCCAAACCATGGTTGGCCGAGCCCCGCACAAGCGCCACAGCAAGGAGGCTGCCCGTCAAAACCAGTCCCAGCCCCACCTGCCGGTGACCCCTGAGAGGATGGTGCGGCCGTCGTGGAGCTCCAGGCCGAGGTTTCGGAACTCGATGTGCAGCCGCGGGCGGATGGAGTTGAAAGCCCTGAAGGAACCCTCCCCCCTGCGGTGAGGAGGGTGCGAGGAGTACAGGCATGAGTTTCTCCTCGCCAATCTCCACCTTGACCCCTATGGCGGGGGACCCCAGTGGGGAGGGGGGCACCCCGGAATGGTATTAAGGGTCCAGAAAGCACATGCGGCCCCATGTCCTCCCGGAATCCCACCCCTTCCCCCTCTCCAATGACATCCGCCCTGCCTGCGGTGGTGGGGCGCAAACAGCGGGTTGAGGAGCTTCCACAGCCTGTCCCGCGCCTCCTGCGTGTGCAGCTGGCGACGCTGCGCCATGCGCATCAGCGCCTCGGCGGTGCAGTACGCGGCCAGCAGGCCCAGCAGGATGCCGGCCAACAGGATAAATCCGGTCCAGGACAGCGCTGCCTTGGAGGAGCCCGGGGGGCAGGAGGTGAGGAAGGGGCAGGGGCTGGGGTCCTTGGACCCAGGCTTGCAGAAGGAGCCCTTCGGGCAGGGCAGCGCCAGGCCCGGGCTGGGGCAGTACGTCCCGCCCGCGCACTGCGTGGAGGGCGTGGATGAGTTGGCGGGGCAGTAGTTGCCGCCCAGCGTGTCGCCGTCCACGTACACCGAGCTGTACACGGTGGTTGGGCGCTGCGGCAGCTCCATGTTGGGGCTGGTTCGCAGCAGCTCGTCCATGGCGCAGGTGGTGGGCGCCACCGAGCCGGGGCCGCAGAATGCGCCCTGGGGGCAGGGCAGCTGGGCCAGGGGGGAGGGGCAGTAGAAGCCGGAGCGGCACTCCAGCCCCTTCATCGCCCTGTGGGTGTGGGGCAGGGGGGGAGGGGGGGGCATGGCGGGTCGTTCTGGACACTGGGAGGGCCGCCCAAGGTGGCCATGTGGTAGGTCCTGGTGGGGCGGCCCCATCGCAGGGAGGTCTTGGCGGTGAGGGGTATGGGGGCAGGCTTGACATGCCGGGCCGTGCAGGAATACAATCGATTCAAATCCTTTGCCCCATGCGATTGCGTTGGGGCATGGTGGGACAGATGTCGCCCGAACTCTGACCCGACTGCCTCATCGCTGGCCAACCTCCCCTTCAAGCCTGCCACCCCTCCTGCACGCACGTCTGGAAGCCGGGGTCACGGAAGGCCGGCAGGGCTGTGCCCTCCGGGCAGTACTGGCCGAAGACGCAGGGGATGCAGAGGAAGGGGACGCTGCCAGCCTCGGCGTCGCTGGCCAGGGCCACTGAGGTTGGCTGGGAACAGACCAGGCCATCACCGCAAGACTGCTGAACATCCTGCCCACACAGACAGCCTGCGGCGCGAAAGAGCGAGGTTGAGGGCGGCAGACTCCTTGGTAATGAGTAAGGGTGATCCCATTCAGCGATGAGGCCTGCCCAAGGAACCCTGGTCAGGTGACCTGGAAACATACCAGGTGCGGCTGTCGCCCCCGGCCTTGGGGCACTGCAGTTGGCCAGCTGCGCATTTGCCTGTGACAGGGACCGGAAACCGGGTGATGTAAGAGTAAAACAATCCGTTGAGAGTTTGTACAGCGCCCAATTGTCCGTTTGCATGACGGAACTACGAGGTGCACCGGCCTCGGCCGCGGAGCTCCGCACCTGGAGGGTCACGGACAGCAGCAGCCAAACCGTCGCTGTGAGCGTCCTCGCTGAGCTTCGCATAATTCAGAGGGTTCAATGTTCCATTATTGGGACCTGGGCGTGAACTTGTCGAGGATCAGCGCCTGTGAGGACCAGCTCGGGCCGGTTTCGGAGGACCGACGAGCAGGTGCAAATAGAGATCTGGGGTCCCGGGCAGCGCACACTCTCTCCCCGTGCTGTGAGAATCAAACGGCAAGTTTCGGTAGGTGAGCGATTGTGTCTCCAAGTTTCTCGACCGTGCATTGCTGTGGCGAATGCCTCGCCACCGTTGTCCGTCAGGAGGGCATGGTTCACTGAGCGTTTCGAGGCTGACAGGTATCGAATGCTGGCAGATCTCCCCTTCGCGCTTTCCCTAACTGCGTCCGAATGAAACACACGGCCTAAGGTGTTCGGGCGACACATGTTCCTTCTCATGTGCAGCGCAGATGGCTGAAGCGGCATCCTTACACGACTCCTTACACTTGAGCCTCCAATGGGATCGGATCGAGAACTGGTGACTCTGCAGTTTGGCAGTCTCGCCAACCATGTCGGGACCCAGTACTGGAACATGCAGGTAAGAAGCCTGATCTAGCATGTAAAGGGAAATCTTCATCAAAATTCCCAAATCCATATCTTGCCTTATATGCACTGTCTTCAGGAGAGCTGGGCTCAGCGCTCCTCTGACGGCTGGGGCCTCGACACGACGGGAGTCTTGTACAGCGAGATCAGCGGGGCCCAGGTCAGGAAATCGCAATCCGGTGATTTGATGTCTACAATGTGCACTCCCAGCAAACGGATGGAAGAATCGCTGCAACCATGCACGCATGCAGGGGTCCGCCACATACCACCCCCGACTGGTGCTCTGCGACGCGAGCGGCAGTCTGGGCCGGGGCTGGGCCTCGACATCTGGCACGCCCAATGTGCAAGCCGATGATGCCGCCACGCAGACCTGGCTGGGCCAAACGCACTGTGTCGGTAGGGTCGCGGCCGATGAGGTGGGTGGCAGGGTCTGGGACGTTGGCGGGGCAACTGTTTCTTTTTGCATTCGCAACGCTGCTGTCCTCCACTGAGGAGCAGGTTCTCACATCCCACCGCCTCACGTGTGCAGGGCGCGCAGCAGTCCTTCACGTCCCTCGCGGAGTGGCACCCCCACCCCAGATCCACGCAGCTCATCCCCGGGGTGTGGCAGGGCGTGACCCCCTTCTCGGCCTTCTCCGCCGGCACCTCGGACGCCCTGCCCGCCGGCTTCCGGGAGGGCCTGGTGGACGTGGTGCGGAGCTTTGTGGAGGACTGCGACTGCCCGCAGGGCCTGCAGGCCCTCGTGGACGACCAGTCTGGGTTTGGAGGCCTGGCGGCAGCCACGCTCGCGGTGAGGTTTGTTGCTTGGGGTGGCTGTGTGGGTGCGGCATGTGCCAGAATGTGCCTGCCGTGCAGTATGACCTGGAAACCTGCCCACGCCACCTGTACCATTGCCTTGCGGAGGTTCTCTGCTCCATGCTGGTGCGTGCTCCCAAAGGGCTGCGGCAGCACAGCCTCTGTGCTGGCATGTCACAAGGCCCTCCCCATCCCATCCATGCCCTCCCCCCATCCATCCCTCCACCACCCCAGGAGCTGAAAGAGGACCTGGCCCTCCCCGTCGCCATCTTCTGCGTGCGTGACGCCGGGGCAGCAGGCGCAGCAGGCAACTTCCACGCCCCCCTGAACGCTGCGCTGTCCTACGCCCAGCTGGCCGGCATCGCGGAGGTTTATGCCACGCCCACCGCGCCTGCAAGGCTCACGTCGACCGACCAGTCCGTGGGTCCTGCAAGTTTCCCCTTCCCGGGGACGAATTGTCTGGCCGCCGCGCTGTTCAACTGCTCGCTGCCGTATGTGCTGGGCGGCATCTCCGCCCAGCCGCCGCCCGCCAGCATGAGTGGCACGCTGGGCACGCTGCGCCAGGTGGCCTCGCTGCTCACGTCGGCGAACAACTCGCCGCTGACGGGGCTGGCCGTGCGCGCGGCGGTGGGGGCCGATCCCTGCCTAGACATGCTGGCGCTGGCGCCGGCCGCGCTGTCGCTGCGGGGGCGCAACGCCGAGCTGGCGACGTGGTCGGGCGCGCCCGGGTCGATCGCCGACGCCCGGGCGCGGCTGGCGGCGGCGCTGGCGCAGGACGCGTCGGTCGACGGCGCCGAGCCCGGCCCCTCCGCATGCACGGCAATCGCGCGCGGCCTGCGGGAGGCAGACGGTATGGCCCCGCCGCGGGCGGCCCAGGCGTCCACGCTGACGCTCTGGTGGGCCGGTCCGGCCTTCGCTGACGAGGCGCGGGCGGCGCAGGGCACGGTGCGGCGCGCCCTGCGCACGCCCCTGGCCTCGGACGCCGTGGCCGACGACGCGGAGGGCATCTTGGGGCGGCTGGAGGAGCTGCGCCTGGCCTTCAGCTCCGCCGAGGACTGACCCTCGGGAGATGCGGGGGCTGTGCGACTCGTTGAGCTTGTTGGCTACAGGGTCTCTCCCGAGGGTCTGAGGCACGACACGGTTGGCGGCCGCCCAGAGACCCCGCAACCCTCGTCTGGCTGTGGGCCCTGGGTCCCTGGCCATTGCCCTGGCGGTCTACGCCAGTGCACCGAACGATGCCGCGCGTCCTGCCGACGTCATCCCCTCACCGCGCCCACCATCACATGACCACCTGTCACATCCCCGACGCGCTGACGAGTCTCACAGGGAATGGACGACACCCGGCCTGGCAGGGAGGACAGTGAAAACACCCCCTCACCGCCCCGTCTCCACCCCCCTGGCAAACACGCGCAGCCCCCCCCTGATCACGTGGGCCCGCAGCAAAGCGGCGGGCGTCGCCTCGCCGTCCAGGTTCCAGTCCAGGTTCGCGCCGCGGCCGCCCTCCACCCTCACCGCCCGCACGTCCAGCACCTCCACGCCCGGCAGGTCCCCCGCCGCCAGGCCGCGCGCCGCCATGTGCGCCAGTACGCGCAGCATGCCCAGCGCGCCCAGGTTGGGCACCAGCACCACCTTGACCCGCCCGTCGGCTAGGTGCCCGGCGCGCGCCATGCCGCACGGCGTCTTGTCGCTGCGGCACGGCGTCACGATCAGCTTCACGCTGCGCCAGCGCCCTTCCCGCGACTCCCATTTCGTCGGCGGGGTGCCTGGCTGGGGGCCCATAGGGTCTAGAGCGAGGGCACTGGGTGAGCCTTGCTGGTGGAGAACGTCGGTTCCGCCCGGCGACGCGTCGCTGGGTACCCTCCGCGCGTCGGTGTCCAGCGGCGGGTCGGTCTCCGACCATACGTCCCCATCCGAACTCGCACTCGCACCAGCCCCCTCCCCGGCCAGCTCGCAGACGGGGCAGCCGGCGCGGCAGGCGGCGCCCTCCGCCCCGGGGCCCAGCCGCTCGGCCGCCATCCCGGTCAGAGGCGAGGGCAGGGTGCTGACGCGGGCGCGCACGCCTCGCCCTGTCAGCAGCGCCGCCGCGCCCAGCAGGTCGTAGCGCAACGGACCCAGCGCGCGCCAGGCCTCCGCGCGCGCGCAGACCTCGCCCATGAACCCGGCCGCTGCGATGCAGCAGGCGTGGACGGGCGCGCGGCCGGGGCCGAGGTCAACGCGCAGCACATCCAAGAGGCCGTCGTCGCCGAGCGCGACTCGCGCCGCCGCGCCAAACGCGCTGCGGCAGCCGTGCAGCGAGCAGGCCACGGCGTCGGTGGAGCCGGCGGGGACATGCGCCAGGCGCAGCGCGCGCAGCGAAGCACGGTGCTCCGAGAACAGCGCATTGACCAGCTCATGGAAGGCGCCGTCGCCGCCTACCGCCACAATGCCTGGAGTGTTCGGTGGGTGAGTGGATGTCGGCAGGAGGGAGCAGAGGGAGGTTTTTATTGCTGGAGCGGAAAGGTTCGGGGGTCGGGGGTAATTAGGGCGGGCATGGCGCCGGGCGCAACAGTCTGTGTGCATTCTTGGGAATTCCACAGGGATTTCAGCATCCAAGGCCATTTCCACCGTCCCCCTCCACACACATATCCACACGCGCGCACCGTCGTAGGCGGCCAGCTGTGCCGGGGACAGCGCGCGCAGCAAGGCCACCGTGTGGTTGCGGCACCGCGTAGCTCGCACGGTGCAGGCGACGCCGGCCGCCCGCAGTACGGGCAGCAGTACAGCGTGCGCCAGCGCCGGCGCCCTGCCCGCACCGCTCACGGGGTTGACAATGATGAGCAGCGAGCGGGGACGGGACGTCGAGACGGCTGCAACGCCTGGTTGGCAGAGCAAAAGCACGATTTGCAGTGAGAAGAACATGCGCTGCCGCTCCACATCCACCATGTCTACCGCCGACGACTCTCCTCATCACCTTGTTGCAGGCTGTGGCACCAGGCATCCAAGGCCCTGCTGTCGTCAAAGTGGGAGACGGGGATGACACGGGGGTGCCACTCCCACGGCCGCCCGGGGGCCCGGCGGAAGGTGTGGATGTGGGCGGTGGGGGCGCAGGGAGCTGCCTGCCCGCCCCACCAAGTGGCCTTTGGCACTCGGGCGGCTTCAGGCACCGGCCTGACACCAATGATCTCACACAGGGGGAGGGAGTGCCAGCCTGGGCGCCCGCCCGGAAACATCCATTCCAGGTGCGTGGGAGTGAGCCTGAGCTGCGCTGGCTCGCCCTCCAGGCGCAGCCCCTCCCATTGGCCGTCGACTGAGGAGCTGAAGGCAGGTGTCTGGGACTCGAGACTGTGGGGTTGAAGGGTGACGGGAGGGCGAGTCTCAATGCGCAGACCTGCCAGGGGCCGGTGGAGCACAGTCCAGGCAGGGAGCCGTACGCACCCCCAGGTCACCGGCAGTGCTCGCCAATGGGCGCCTAATGGACAGAAGTCACATGCAGAAAAGCCCTGGACCATGCGATTCCCTCTCACTCAAAACTCTTGCCGCGCTGACGACGAGCAGATACGCCCGCTGACATCAGGCGAGAGGGGATGGAAAGGCCATGCAAGGCCCAGTGCCTAGTCAAGCGAGCTGAGATTGGGTGCCACCATCATCTCGCTTCGAAAGTGTGGCAGCGACCTGTTCAGCGGGCGTAATAAACCCAAACGTATGGATGAAAGTTGGTTCACTTGCTCGATTGGGCCTCCTATGTCGTCACGGTTGAAAGAAGGGTCACGTCCTGATTGTCGTAACCCTCGATCAAAATTGCTCCGGCCGGAGCGCAGCATGCACGACGCAGCATCAGAGTGATCTGGGACCTGAAGGTCCCACGCGTGGCAGTCCCTCCACGATCAGGATACATTATATAGATGTAATTCATCTTATTGTCCTGGCAAGGGTGTCCTTGCGACCTTCGCAGATGTTTGGGACGTGCCGGAAGGCCGCACCACACCTCAACTCGTGACGCCTCGGGTCCAATGCACGACATGGCACCAATAGCCAGTGCGTGGCGACAGCAATGCCCTGGTATGATTATGCCTGTGATATGAATGCAGATGCCAGCCATGCAGGCTTCCAAGGACACTGCTCTCATGAGCGCGAATGATGCCAGCCTGGCACAGGCCAGCCATGGCAGTTTGTCGGCAGCACTGCAGCGCAGGACCAGGAAGACGGTGCGGCGTGGTGCTCTGGCGGGATGACTTCAGCGACAATCTCCTCCGCTTGCCCCCGCGTGCGTTTTGGTTCACACAGATACACCCATGATGTGGTGTCTCAAGCACCCCAGTCGCGCCACCCTCCAGGGACGCACCACCTCCGCCAGACTCCTGCCCACTACTGCGGCATGCGGAGCGGCAGCGGTCGTGGATCGCGATGCAGCGATCCTGGCCACCCCCGCCGAACTTGAAGAGAACACAGAGCCAGCATGGCTGGACTGGGAGGAGGTGGGCCATGAATCGCCGGCCAGTGGCGGCGAAGGAGCCGGCCCGGCTCCGATTGAGGCCCCAGCCAGCCAGGGCCTGGGTCTCTCCATCAGCCTGATTGGCGAGGGCGCGCCCAAGCCGCCCGCGAAGCGGCGGGGTGTCAGCCAGGCCGACCGCGAGGCCGCGCAGCGCCTGCACAGGAGCCATGCGTTGTGCCTGCTGGGGCGCGCCCTCCTCTACGACGCCGCCTCCAGCGACGCCGGCCTGCAGGCGAGGGTGTAGAGGCCTTGTTTGCAGGGGCAATTGCAGCTTGCTAAAGACGTCTGGGCCTGTGGCTTCGGTGATGCCCGCAGACAGGCTCGCCCACCATCCCAACCCACCCCCCCAAACCAAACATCCAATGCTCTTTGCAGGCCGTCATCCTCTCCCTGCTCCCGCCCGAACTGGCCGGCTCCAGCCCAATCCCTCGTGCCGACCCTTCCCAGCGAGCCGACCCTGCTCAAATGGGGGAGCTGCTGGCCTGGTTCAGGGGCGGCTTCCGACCCCTGCGGCGGAGCGCCGTCCAGGTGACACCCGCCGACGGCGAGGATGCGCTGGGCGCCACGCTGCGTGCGGCCCGCGGGATCCCCGCGGTCGTGGAGCAGCTGCAGCGCGTCGCTGCACAGCGCACTGGCAGCGTGGAGGAGCTGGTGGCTGTGTTCGTGGCCGCGCTCCGAGCTCTGGGCATCGCCGCCCGCACGGTGCGCGCGCTCTGCCCCTGCCCCCTGAGACCGTCAGGTGTGGGAGGAGCTGGGCCGGCCGGGAAGATGGTTTAGGGTATGAGGGAGGGCGAAGAAGCTGCATCCCTGCTATTTCTGAGGGCATCGGGCCTCAGCTGCGCGCATGTTCACCCTCGCATTTCCTGGCAATTTCCAACAGCAGTGATGCGGGAGGAGGCGGGAGAGGTTGGCGCTCGGAGATTGGCCGGGAGGCCGCGCAAAGCAGCAGCTGCTGCTGCTGACGCGGACTCCCGAAAGGAGTCCGCCCAGGCTGGCAAGTCCCAGAAGCCGCGGAGGAGGAAGGGCCGCCCCAACCCCGGCGTAGATGTCAGTCTGGATGCCGGGCCCTCGTCAGCCACGCCTGCGGCCTGTGGGAAGCGCAGGAGGGGGGATGAGGAGCTGGAGCAGCAGCTGGCCATGGCCATGGCAGCCACCGCGTTCCAGCAGCCAGTGAAAGAGGACGGCTCCACTGAAGGCGCCCCTCGAGAGCCCAGCACCGGATTCCTGTCTCGCAACAGTGCTCGCCCAGAGCCCCAGACAGGTCGGGTGCAGGGCAATCCTGTGGTGCGGGGAGTCAAGGACGTGACTCCTGCACATTGAGGAATTCATGCTCTGTCCTGTGCTCCGTGGCGTGCAGACTGCACACTTCGACCCCAGTGAACACACAAACACCACCCCCAGGCGTGCTCAGCGTGTCCACCCCGGGCATCGGCCGCTTCTGGGTGGAGGTGCTGGTGGAAGGCACGGCGGCCCCCCGCTGGGTCCAGGCCGACCCCATCACCGGGTGGTGGGACCGGGCGGCCGACGTGGAGCGCCTGCACCCCAGCGGGCGCAGCCTGGCCTACGTCGTGGGCTGCCGGGCGGGCGGAGCCAAGGACCTCACCCGTCGGTGAGCCGGAGGATATGGTGTGGGCGTGAGTGTGATGGTGGGAATACCATGCCCCGCTGTGCTGTCCTTGTACTGTTCAGGTGCACTGTATGAAAATCGCTGAGGGGTCTCATCACTGCTCACATGCTTTGCCACCGTACCTCCACCCCCCCCCCCGCCAGGTACGCCGCGAACTGGGTGGCAGCCGGGAGGCTGCGGGACGGGCGGTGGTGGGACGCCACCCTGGACCCCCTGCGCCGGCTGGAGTCCCGGGCTGCGCACCTGGCCGCGGAGGCGAAGGAGGAGCCGGCGGTCGGTGCCTGCCACTCGACTGACCACTTACCGGCAGTTTCCCTGGCGGCACGCGAGGACGACGAGCTGGCGCACCGGGCGTTGCAGCACGAGCGCAGCGTACCCCGCACGCAGGAGGGCTTCCGGGCGCACGGCGTGTACGTGCTGGAGCGCCACATCCCCAAGCACCAGGCGCTGCGCCCCGGGGTCAAAGCGCACGGCATGCACAGGTACGTGGCTGTGTTCACGGGGCTCGAGAGGGGGACATGTGACGGCCAGCTGGAGAGGGATGGCATGCCAAGCACGAAACCGGCGCCTGCCTGCCCCCAAGAACAGGCGCGGCGTCGACGCTCACGCCGGGCCCACACCCTGCTTCCCACAGGGGCGAGGCGTACTATGTGCGCAAGGACCTGGCCGACGTCCACACCCAAGACCGGTGGCGGCGCCTGGGACGAGACGTGCTGGAGGAGGAGCTCGCACGCCCCGCCAAGGCCCTGGCCCGGCGGCGGGCGCCGGGCCCGAGCCCCGGCCCGGCGGGTGAAGTTTCCAAGACCATCTCCGGCCGCGTCGCAGGGAGGGACCCCCCTCCAGACCCAGCAGGGGTCCCCCCCGAGGCTACAGAGCCAGCCGCGCCGCTGGTTCACTACTAGGGCGAGTGGCAGACGAGGGTGGCGGTGCCGCTGGCGGCCAGGAACGGCAAGGTGCCGCGCAACGCCATGGGCAACGTGGAGGTGCCGCCGCTGGCGCATGCGCTCCCCCTGGGCACCGTGCACTTGGACCTGCCCTCCGTCTTCGCCGTCTGCCAGGCGCTGCGCGTGGACGCCGCCCCCGCCCTGGCCGGCTTTGAGCACCGCGGCGGCCGGGCCACGCCCTGCCTGCGAGGCGTGGTCGTCGCCGCCGAACACGAGGGCGCTGTGCTGGAGCTGTACTGGCGCCAGGCCAGGGAGCGGGAGGCCAGGGCCGAGGCGCGGCGGCGCCAGGCGGCGGAGGCGGCATGGCGGAGCCTGCTCCGGGCGCTGCTGGCCCGGGTCAGGCTGCAGGCGCGGTACGGAGAGGAGGGTGCGGGGCAGGGCGGCAGCATGCAGGACGCCGCGGCGACGCTGCTGGAGCCCGAGGCGCGGGGGGGGTGGCGTGGCGGCGGGACGGCGGGTCGATGCCGAGCGGGGGCACCAGCACACCAGCGCGCCGGAGGAGGCGGAGGAGATATGAGGGGATGGGTCAGGCACATGAGCTGTACATTATCTACCTCCTGTAAAGAAAGCTACCCTGCCGAGGGCACGGGCAGGGGATGGTATGGCCGAGTGCCAAACTGGGTCAGCTGGGCTCCATGCCAGCAGGTCCCGCGCCTTGGCGCGACGAACCGAGCGGGGTTCCGGACGATCTGCGCAGGAGCATGTCTCAGTCACTACCGTCCTTCGGGTCTTGCCGTTTTATACTACCCATGAGTATCTGCACATCTAATCAGTGAGCATGCTCAATCCCTAATCCCCTGTACTCGTGGAGCGCCGTGTTCCCAAGTTTACAAGCAGTGGAACGCGTTTGGACCCTCCCTCCCTAAGGGCTCATCAAGGGACACACGATGGGGTCATGCTTGAGCTGCTGCGGCGGAAGCAGCGATGCTGATATCTACGCCCAGGGCGCCAGGTGGGTGGGCCGTGCTCTTGGGAAAGGAGACCTGGCAATGAAGTCCCTTCCTCCTTGTCAGCCCAAGACCCCGACACGACCTCTGATCGCACGCCCCCCTCCCAGGACCACGGGAACTGACGGCGCCTACGCGCCTCCCAGACCGCAAAAACCAGACACCCCTGAGGACAGGGCCGCTCGCTTGGCCGCTGCAGAGGCGGTGAGTACCAGGGTGCAGTGTCAACAATGTTCACCTCGTGAGGAAATTCCTCAGCACTCGTCAAGATCCAATGCCAACAAGCTCTCCCCTTCCCACACATGCACAGGCCCAATCGCGACAAGCCAAGTTCGAGCACAGCGCCGTTGGGCGAGCGACCCTGAAGTCGGTCAAGGCGGTGCAGGCAGAGCGGCAGGCGGGGCGGCCGCCTGCGGGGAAGGACACCGCAGGCGACTGGCTGTCATGAGAACTCGCGACGGTCATCTTCCGTGCTCTGATGTGAAAGGAGAGCATTCCCTGTGTACTCTGCCCCCCTGCTTCTACCTTGGTCAGGCGCTCTTGTAAGATTTGGTCATTGTCATGCTTGAGGGGATGCTTTCCTCAATTAGTTAGTCCCTTCGTCGCAGGGGTCTCTGCAGGGTCGGGAGGCAGGGCAGGGTGCCGGCACGAGGCAGCAGCGTTCAGGCCCCCGCCAAAGCCTCCGCCCCCCCGGTCTCCCCCGCCCTGACACGTGGGCGCAGGAACCTGGGCCGCCGCACGGCGGCGGCGGCTTCGTCGGCTACCGTGCCAGGGGGCACGCAGGCGCACAGGCGCCGCGTCTCCGGGGCCTGACCCCTGCACTGCGGCATCTGCTGCGTGACATAGCAGGTGCCGGGGCTGCTGTGGTTCCTCGCGCCCTCCGCCACCATGTTTGGCAGGTCCTGCCCCCACTCCAGCGAGCAGCCTTGGGGGCAGGGGAAGGCGCGCATCAGCGCTGCGAGGGAAACAAGGAGGGAGGAGGGGGAAAGGGTGTGTCGCGGTTGTGAGGGATGTTGAAGTGGAATGTGGGGGGTGCGGGCGTGTTAGATGTGGTTTACTGAGCGAAGGGAGGGCTCCATTCGCAGTGAGTGCCACGCATCGTGGCCCGAGCCAGAGCTGCCTATGGGGGTCTTCGCTCACCGGAATGTTCTTGTCTGGATCACCCTCACTCGTGGCAAAGAAGCCAAGGTCCTCATCATTTCACAGCCAGGACTTCCGGAACCCCACCTCCCCACCCCCCTCCACCTAGACGTCTGCCCACCCGCGCAGGTGTTGAGGAAGTGGAGGTCGGCCTTGCTGCAGACCGCGCCCCGGGCACGGCAGGCCGCGCTGCAGCTGACGCCGGGCTCGGCGGCCACGCCGCGCATGCCGGGCGTGGGCAACGTGCGCAGCGCGCCGGGCAGCAGGTCGCAGCGCCGGGCGTCGGCCAGCAGCAGGCGCCCGCCCCGCCACGGCACGCTGGTCAGGAAGCGGTAGTGGCCGCGCGGGAAGGCCCACACGCCCGTGCGCCGCGCCAGGCGGGCGTAGTCCTCCTGCAGGTAGGGCACCAGCGCCGCGCCGCCGCGCAGGTCGGGCGGCGGGGCGGCGCCGCGCAGCGCGGCCGGGGGGAGGATCTGCGCCCCGGCCACCGCCGCGCGCGCCGCGGCGTCGTAGGCGGGCTGCAGCAGGTAGCGCACGTCCCCGAACCCAGCGGCGGGCGCCTCCCGCGCCCAATCCATGGTCTGCAGGGACTTGCGGAAGGCGGCTCGGTCCATGTTGGCCCCCACCTCGCCGATGTTGCGGTTGCGGTTGACCTCGGGGACCACGCAGTCGCGACCCCGGGCCACGCCCTCCATGCGCATCCAGTGGTCCCAGTGCTGCTGCGGCCAGGCAGGGCCCAGCTCCTCCCACAGCCGGGACGACAGCATCCAGCCCAGCCCCGGGAAGTAGGACGTGCGGAACTGGCAGTTGGGTGTGTGGATTTGAGGGGGTGGGGCTGATGCGGATGGTCTGGAATGAGGATGGTTGAGGTGGGAGGCGGTGATGACATCACTGCACTGGCGCACATGGAGCGGGCAATGACAGCCCCGCATGGGGCGAGAGATGCGGAATCACAGGAAGCGGGGGGCACACTAGACAATGGGCCACGCTCCTCCCAAAGCGCTCACTAGCCTCGTCGGGTCCCAGTGATGGTCCTTGGAGAAGCCGTTGTCGTTCTGGAGGAGCACATGGGAGGGGAGTGTTCTTAGAAATACCATCAAAGGTGCAGGGCCCAGGTGCATGCAAAGCAACCTGCATTTTACATCGTCGATGCAAATCGACAATCTTGCCCATCGGGCACAGCCCCTTGTGATCCCCATCAGCCTCCCTCACCCACGAGGAGATGCACCACAGCGTGGGGTCTGCATCTAGCAACCACCCCGTCTCCATGAAGAGCGTCAGGAAATCTGTGTGGGAAGGGGAATACCAGTAGTCTTGTTGCTGCCCCAAAGGCTGTGCTGCAGCTTCATGTCAGCTGCCAGTTGTCACCTTTGCCACGACAGACTTCCAGCCCTTTCCTTGTAAGCCTTCAATCTCGAAGATGGCGTACCGGGGCTGAACAGCATGTCATCCTCCACGATCACGGCGTGGCTGTGCCCGCCCTTCAAAAAGAGCCTGTCTAGGCCCCACTTGTAGTGTTGCGCAAGCCAGGCATGCCCCGGCTGGCGCGGTCCAAGCTGGGGCACTCGTGGCCGCTGCCAGCTCTCAAAGCCAGCTGTCAGGGCCGCCAGCGCGGCTCGATGCGTCTCAATCACGCCCTGGACCCCTGTATGGTTGCCGTCCTGGGAGATGTACAAGGTGAAGTCGGCTAGCTCTGGCAGGGCTGCCAGGGAGGTCAGGGTCTGGTTGAGGTAGCCGGGGCGGTCATAGCAGAATACGATGATGGCAGGGTTGAGCAGTGAGGGGGGATCTGGGATTGAAGGAGACGGGGGCTTGAGTGATACGGTGAGGGCTCATCATATCATGCAAGCCACCTTCGGAACCGTGAGCATTCAATCAGCCCCGAGCATGCACGTCACCATGCCTGCAAAGCAGGCTCTGGATCCTTTTGACCCCACCTTACCCTGGTGCAGCGGAGCGTGGGAGACCCCGACGTCCCGGGCAACAGAATTCACGGCATCTCTCTGGTTCCCCGGCAGCACGGACGCAAATCGGAGCTGTACCCAGACCAGCTCCACGAAGATGAGGAGGCACAGGGTCCCCGTGAGCAAAGAGGCGTATGGGGGGTCCCTGCGAGCCATGCCTCGGGCACCTAGGTGCCCAACATCGTCGCCCGCGCACGTGGGCCAAGGCAAGGTCTACTGGCTGCGATGAGGCCTAAGGATCTATGACGAGCATGCAACCTCATCATACGGTACTCCATTAATATCGTATCATCTCTCGAGAAATAGGTACTGGCCTAAAGCAGCAAAAGGCCAAACGCGGTTTGGCGCTTTATTTCACCGCTCAGCATGGGAAAGAGTACTTTAAAAATACATAGCTGATGTAGCGTGTGGCGAGAGGACGCTTGGCATGGCACACAGCACGGGAGGCACCGCAGGATCGGTAGCTGCGGGCGCGTGACTGAATCTTGATGATCCTTGGTTCCGGAGACGCATACGCTCTGCTTGCCAATGGCTAAGAGCGACCGTCCCCGTGCTTTGATGGTCAACTCTATGCCAAATTTGTGCGAATCGTCGCACATGGATCGCATCGGGATTTTAAAAGTGCAAGCTGTTGCCGTTGTGGCACTTGATCAGACAGTCTGAGAGCTGCAGCCCATCTTGAAGTCCATCAAGTCTCGAGAACATGCGTGCAAATGTCGATCATTTAAAACATCGCTGCCCCTATGTATTGGTGGGCAGTCTTACTCGGCGCGGGGGAAGGGCACCACGCGAAACGTGCTCACTGATCTCGCCCGCGCCTCCAATGCTGGTCGGGTGTCGGACCTACGAAGAGAAGTCATTCATCTAAACCGAGCACTTGTGGCTGGAAAAGTAGGCGGTGGCGTCCCACTTCGTCATGCGTTACGGGAAGAAGCTGGGAAGGGCTTGGGGTTTCCAGACGCAGCCGGAAACGCGCGCGTTTCGAATCTTCGGTCAGAACCCTCTACACTCTTCGCCGTGGCCAAGTCATAAGTTAGACCCAGCCATGATTCCTTCACAATTTGCTCACTTCCACCACTCCCCCCCCCAGAACATCGTTCGTATCCCTCAACATCCTCCCTCAACTCTCGTACTCGCGGTCCTGGACACCCACGTCAACACCATGGCCTACGTCTACATGATGCCGCCCTTTGAGGATTTCTTCGGCCATCATGGCTTCGAGCACTGTCCCGCCTTCTATCGGATGCGTCGGGGACCTTGCGGGCGCCGTGATCGCGAGGGCTTCCCACCTCGGGAAGCTGGTCCCGACGGACCTGCCCCTCCCTCCCCGCACCACGCACGTGGTCGCCTGCCCCCTCTTCCACCTCCTCCCCATGGCGACCACCCCCACCCTCCACCCCCGCCTCCCCACGGCGGCCACTTCCCACCCCCGCCCCACCACCGCCACGGGAGGCATCACGCTGAGGAGGGCCCCGGCCACCGGCGCCGCCCCCACCGCCGGGAGCCAACAGAGCAGGGACCCTCTTCCTTCCCCGGATTCGGCCACGTCCAGTTGGCCCGCACCGGCTCTGCAGCCAGGCTGGTGGTCCTGCTGCCAGGCATCCCCCGCGACCAGCTCAAGTGAGTACTGTATGATCTCTGATTTTTTGTAGTTGTAGCACAAGGGGAGTGTCCTGATCTTGCTCTGCTATGAATATTACCCACTGCATCTCTTGTGTACAACCAGATCCCTTATGCAATCCCAGTCACTCACCCCTCGATCCCACGACCACACTGCCCACCAGGTTGGAAGTGCTGAAGCGGACTCTGACGATCGAGGTGCCCGCCGGCTCCTCGCAGCACTCGCCTGTCTTCAGCCGCACCTTCGAGCTGGGGGAGACGATCGATGCCGATGCAATCTCTGCCGACCTCGAACTGGGCCTACTCACCGTGAACCTGCCCTACAAGAGCAAGTCCGTGGCAGTGCCGCGCCGCGTGGCGGTGGGTGGCGTCGGGTCCTCATCTTCTGCACATGAGGCTGGCAGTAAAGCGGCCGCCAGCGAAGCGCACGAAGTCGAGGCGCATGACGCCGACGCGCACGACAAGGCCACGGAGGCCAGCGCGACGGCGGTGCAGGAGATGGCTGGCTCCTCCAAGGGCGAGTGGGTGGATGTGCGGGAGGCGGGCGAGGAGAAAGCGCGGCGCAGCGAGCACAGCCCCGCCTCCAGCGACGATGAGGACGGCTCCATTGAGGACTGCCCCGTGGACGCCGAGCCCTGAAGTTGCACGAGGCCCTGACCTTGACAATGGAGTACTTGACACTGCTGCCATGTCGGCACTTTCTCAGATCAAGCTGGCGTGATGTACCTTGTAAACTCTTGTACCATACTTTTGTTGAAGAGCCTCAGGCTGGGGCGTCACAACGGGTTACAGGTCCGGTCCAGTGTTCTCAAAAGTGCTGTCGTTCCAGTCATAGGTTGCCGGAAAGAAGCTGCACAGCCTGTACCTCTCAAAACAAGCCATTGCCTAGCGTCCTGCGGTCAGCGTCATGGTGGTAAAGGCGGGGTTGATCCCGGTGGTCCCTGCCACCGGTAGCAGCACCTGGTCGATGCCGTGGATGACCCAGCTGCAGCCGCTTGCCAGGTCAGGGGACGTCACCTGGGCCGAGTCCCCTACCGCCTCCAGGACCAGCGGGGTGCCCGGGGACACGAAGAGCAGGTCCCCCGACTCGGTGGGCAGGTTGCGCCTGGCCGCCAGATCAGTAGCGGACAGGGCCCTGCCGGACGACACGTGGTACTGCACGATGCGAGACAGAATGTCTGCAATGTGGGGGGCATCGATTGGGGAAGTTGGCAAGGCAGTCCGGGCATCGTGAGGAATGCCAAACTGTCAGTGTCCAACAGGCACTGCTTGGAGGCATGACAGCACATTTAGACGAGAGCTCAAATCCGATGGACCACACCTTGCTCCCCATGATCAGGAAAGCCTCCCTTCACACCCAGCCATGTCAGCAGGGCACGCTCACGCACTTCTCTGGGAGGAAAGCTGGTCGGCGGTCACACCGAGGGCATTGGCGGCCGCAGGGAAGGAGGAGGAAGCCGGGACAAAGACCTGCGGAGTGGAGGGGTTGGGAGGAAGAATGAAGCGTGAACGGGGTGTTGGCAGCAGAGTGGTGGACACCAAGGCCCGCGACTGTTTCTCTCACATGCCACAGGTCCACAGGCGCCCACACCAGTAAAATACTCCTCTCCTTCTCACTCCACGCACCGTGATGTCGGTGTCGTAGCTGGACAGCAGGGCCTGCTGGGCGGAGGTGTTCACGATGCTGGCAAAGGCCGACAGGGAGGGCTGGGACAGGATGTACTCCAACGCCGTCTGGTTGCAGACGCGAGGGGGCCTGGGGGGGGCGATGGGGGAATGCGTGGCGGCCAGTGAGTCGGTTGGATCTCAGGCATAGAAGGGGAGGGACCTTCAAAGGAGTTGGCAGAAGTGACACCCATTTAACAACAGGCAAATCGCTACAGCTATCACCCTTGGACAGAGCACTCTGCAACAGCTACTGTCCGCACTCACTCTTCTGGCACCTCAGGCGACGGGACGGGAGCGGCAACCGCCTTGGCAGGCTTGGAGACCACTGTATGTAGGCAAGGTGATGGAATGACTTGCAGGCGGCGGAGGGGAAGCTCCTTTCCAGCAAGGCCCGCATGCAGTCTGTCTAAGCAGGGCGACACCTGCCCACAAATGCGCACCTCCAGTCGGTTCAGCCTCTGGGGCAGAGTCCAGGACCCAGGATGCCTCCGGCCCCTCCTCCTCTGGGGCGGGGGCTACGGCCACCCTTGAGCGAGTGACAGGGCTGGCAGCACGGCGCGCAGGGCCCTCCGCACTGGGGGCAATTGCCTCCTCGACCACGGGCGCGGCAGGCGTCTTTGCAACTGCCGTGGCGGCTGCAGCCTTGGGTTCCGCCTTTGGCTCAGTAGCTGGGACGGGGGCTGCTTCCACCACTGCAGCCGCTGGCTTGCGCGGCACAACAGCTGCAGGCACCTCGGTGGCAGGCTGGGTCTTAGCTGAAGGAGCGGGTTTTGCAACAGGAGCCTCAGCCTTAGGGGCTGCGAGGAAGGGAACTCCTAGGTAATGATGTGCTCGGTATCGAGCGGTAGCTTGAGATGCTCGTGCTGTTCTCATAGACCGTGCTGTGCACCACCTGGCTGACTCTCCCATTCCCCACACCTGGCGCAGGAGAGGTGCAGCGCCCACAGGTCTCATTGCAGAAGCCGTTGCTGATCATCCACTTGGAGTCACACTTCTCAAATGATTTCTGTTGGAGGATTCGAGAAGAGTTTGTCAGCCAAGCCTGTAGTGCTGAGGCCTCCCATGGTTTCCTCGGTTCGTACACCCCGGGCACACGATGCGGCGGCCAGTCGCGACGTCCCCATGGACCAGGATCAGGAGCCCGAATGCTTGCAAGAGTACTAGAGAACTCAACATAAAACCAAAGTACAAGCCTTGCATACCTGTTGTGCGCATGTGTACTTCTTGTCCGGGGGGGTGTCCGTGCATGTCTCTGCCAAGACTGTGGGTGGGAAAGACATGCATGGAGCTGTGATCGCCGGTGCCACGCAAGGTCGACAGAGGATGATACGCGCTACCATCAGAAAGTCAACATGCAGATCCTGCACTCAAAATTACCCGAGGGGCTCAGCACGAGGCAAAGGAGAGTGCATGCGAGGATGGGACGGATGCCCATATCGGGTTACTGGCAGCGGTGGACTCCTCGCCGGCACCCAAGTATACGAGAAGGGCAGGATATACCTTCCTCAAAAGTACTCCAGTACTCCAATGCTATTATATAAATGGGCAAGAGCTCGATGGGCTCAAAAACAAGAGTAGGGTGGGTTTCGTGAGCCAAAGGTGCACAGAAAGGTGGTCGGTACTGGATCTGACGATGGAGGCGCCAGATGATCACTGTCGGCTCGCGATGGGAATCAAAACATCGATCGTGCCGTCTGATGCTATCAGACATGCACCCTGACATCTCATAACCCTTGATCCAGGGCTCACATGGCATTAAAGATATAGTGTCCGTGTCGTAGGATCGTTTCTTCTCCCCGGCAGTCATGGAAGCGCAGGCGGTGCTGGGCTCCTTCGTGGCGGGGCAGGAGGACTACGAGGTCCTGGAGGAGATCGGACAGGGCACCTTCTCTGAGGTATGCCGTTTGATCGTGTTCACGGCTCATGGTCGATGTTCTCGGGCGGTGCTGGGCTCCTTCGTGGCGGGGCAGGAGGACTACGAGGTCCTGGAGGAGATCGGACAGGGCACCTTCTCTGAGGTATGCCGTTTGATCGTGTTCACGGCTCATGGTCGATGTTCTCGGGCGCTGCGGGCGGTCACAGCCCTTACCCGCCTCCCTCCAGGTGCACCGCGGGCGGCACCGATCCACCCACCAGGAGGTGGCGCTGAAGGAGATGTTCCTCACGGAACAGAAAGCCTTGCCCCTGCATGTCGAGCGGGAGCTGCAGCTCCTGCGCGCTGTCAGCCACCCCAACATCCTGCCCCTCCAGGGCGTGTACTCCAAGGTGGGACTGCAGCTGTTTGGTGGCCTCCAGGCCCTGCATCGATGGTTGTAGATTGCGAGCTACCACACCATTATACCCCTTTTTCAAGATGGCACGCAGGGCTTTGGCATCACCCTTGTCTTCCCGCTGTGCCGTACCGACCTGTACCGTGCCATGGATGCCGGCCCTCTGCCGGCCCCCATTGCGAAGGCGGCCTTGAAACAGCTGTTTGAGGCGGTGGGCGCCCTCCACGACGCAGGTGGGTGGTACTATGGGCTGCGCTGGCCTGGAAGCTGCTCTGTGTACTTCCTTAACTTGCTGGACGGTCATCACTGCATCATGTTTACTCCCCCCCGTCGGGGCGGCCAGCGGCGGTGGTGGCGCCGCCGCTGCAGGGGGGGTACGTCCGCGGCACCGTGCGGCGCCCGGTGGAGACGTGCCGGTCGGATGATCCGCCGGTAAATGGGGACCCGGGGGGGCCACTCGGTTAGTCGCCATGAAGCTACCACACCATTATACCCCTTTTTCAAGATGGCACGCAGGGCTTTGGCATCACCCTGGTGATCGGGCGGGAGGGGGGGTGCGCGGCGGTGGGGTGGTCAGGGGGCGGGCGACGGGCGGCCGGGTGATGGTGGGCGAGGCCTGATCCGGTAACAGGGGGGGAGGGCGGCCCCGACGGGGGCGGAAGGTTGTAGATAGAGCAGGGGGGAGGCTGGCGCTGGAGAACGTCCGTGGCGCCGGTGGACGGTCATCACTGCATCATGTTTACTGCACCCCGTCCCACGTAATGCACACTCACAGCTGGAGGGGCGGCGGGCGGGTCGGCCGCCGCCGGGGGGGGGGAAGAGCGGCCTAGTGGCGGGGGCGGCCCGCTGGGGACTGGGATGGGAGGTATGGTAGGTGCTGGAGATCACGAACCAGGCTAGGCGCCTGGGGGACGGGCAACGGCAGGCAGATGGTGTGGCGCCGGACCGCGTGGTAGGTGGGGGCGCCGGCGTCGACTGGGGGGGGTGTAGCGAATGAGGAGGAGGGAAGGTATGGCGAGGAACAACCCTTGCCAACCCATGGAGAGTGGGCCATACCTTCACAAGCCGCTTGCAACGGGGAATTGTGCTTGGGGCTCGCCAGGCCACGTGGTGCTCGACAACTCGGGGGGGCGCCCAGGGGCGGCTGGGCGGCTCGGGTCCGGGCCACCAGAGGTCCGGCGCCGGCCGCCTTTCCCATTGCCTCAAGGTATCGCGCCCCCGAGCTGCTCTTTGCCGCGCGGTCCTACAACGACGGCGGGGCGATCTGGCGGCAGAAGTAGATGTGCGCGGGGGGCGGGCAGGGCGGCGCGCGGGACGGCGGCGGGACGAGGTCCTCCGAGGCGCACGGGGAGGCGGGGGCGAGGAAGTGCAACTCGGAGGGGTGCTGGGGGGCCGGGGGTGGGATGAGGGGGATGAGGTTGGCGGTGATAGGGCCCGGCGGGGGGGTGCGGGGGATGGGGGGGCTGCCGGGGACGGACCCCGCCGCACGGGAGCTGTGCGCCGGCCTGCTCTGCTATGACCCAGGTGTGTGATGGGGCCTGGGATGCAGCGGTGGAGGACGGGGCTCCGCGGCGAGCGAGGGTGGGAGGAGTGGTGCGCCGGTCGGATTGTGGGGCGGCGGGGTAGGCAGTACTCCACTGTGCAGCATGCCCTAGCCCGAGCAGGCGCTTCCCGGCCAACACCCAAGGAGATGAGAGAGGGGGGGGGGGCGAGCTTCGGCGCGTCAGGGCCGCGGGGCTGGGGCGATAAGGGGGCGGCGGGGGTTCAAGGAACTCGACGGTCGGGGCAGCGGCTGCAGGGGCGGGAGCAGGGCCGGGGGGCCCGCGACGGGAGCAGTGGGGAGGCGATACCAGCACAGGGCAGGCCCACGTCCAGCGTCGAGGGTGGGCGGTGTGGGGACTGGCCATGGGGGGCAGGATGGCCCGCCGGGGAGGAGGAGGGGCGGTTCCGGGCCGGGTGCCCTGCTCGGCTGGGGGGAGGGGGGCGGGGCTGGGGGGGGAGGGGCTGGTGTGTCATTTCGCGCTGGATAACGAGGCGGTAAGGTGGCTGTAGAGTAGAGGCGCTGCGGGGTCCAAACAACCCCACCACCACGCCTCTGACTGACTACCAGCGCAGTGCCTCGCTTTCCTCAGTGGGGCGGCGTGGCGATGCAGCGGCGCTCCACGCGTTGTGCGACCCGGGAGGTGCAGTTCGTCGAGGAGGTGGTGAAGAGGACCGGCGGGGGGTGCCGGTCTGCAGGAGGGGGAGGGGGGGGGGTTGCACCGGCACATGCATCACGGGGACGCCTTCTCAATGCTGTAGACACACCCCCAAGCCCCCCCGTCCCAACCTGCCATGGCTTTGTCCCGGCGGCCGGGGCGGCGTGGGCGAGGAGCCCGGGATTAACCAAATGTTTGCCGGCGATTAGGGGAGGGGAGGGCGGCGGGTATGGGGTAACTGAAACTGCGTCATATATAGGGAGCGGCGGCGGGCGGGGGCGAGGAGGAGGGGGAGCGGGGGTTAAGCCCGGGGGGGGGGCGGGATGCGGGAGCGGGACCTAGGGGTATATGGAGGAAAGCGTCTCGTGGGTGATGGCACCCTGTGCCGGCACTGTTGTATTGTACACCGTTTTGGAGTCCAGGGTTCCTGGAACGAATCGGGTCCATCGCCGAACGTCTGACAACCCCACCACCACGCCTCTGACTGACAACCAGCGCAGTGCCTCGCTTTCCTCAGTGCCGCGGCGAGGTGTTGAGGTGCACCGCCTCGAAAGCGGCCTCCAGGCTGTTGAGCGACGGCCTGGGCGAGGGCTTGGCCTCCCTCACGCGCTGCCGGTCTGCAGGAGGGGGAGGGGGGGGTTGCACCGGCACATGCATCACACGGTACCCTTCTCAATGCTGTAGACACACCCCCAAGCGCCCCCGTCCCAACCTGCCATGGCTTTGTCCCTCCTCCCTCTCCGCCTTCTCCGTCAACCCCTCAAGAAATAAAAGGAGACCCGCCTGAGTCGCTGCGCTGCACCGCCTCGAAGGGCTTGTAGGTGTAGCCGATGAAGTTGGGGTCCGCCACCGGCCGGCTCCTGCTGCTGGCGCTGCCGGGGGAGTGCCCCGCGCGCGCGCCGCGTTCCGGGTCCTCGTATTGCTCGAAGTTCTGGGTGTCCAGCTCGTGGGTGATGGCGGGGCGGTAGGGCGGCGGCGACTCGTACAGCCGCACCCAGTCCACGCCGCGGAAGAAGGGGTGGCGCTTGATCTCCGCCGCGCCGTGCCCGCCCAGGCGCCGGTCCACGTCGCAGAGCAGGCGCATGATGAGGTCCTTGGCCGCGGGGGAGAGCGAGGCCTCCGCCTCGGCGGGGAAGCGCAGGTACGTGGCCCAGTTCACGATCTTGCTGCGCGGGTGCACGGGGAGGTGAGGCGTGAGGGCAGCGTGACTGGGACGACTGGGACTGGCACACGGCAGGTCGCCCTGGCCGAGGAGGAAGACGTCGCCCCTGCACCCATGCTGGCCCAATCCCCAGACCTCACCGGCAGGTGGTCATGGGGTCGTCGGAGTAAAAGGGTGGGAAGCCCACCACCATCTCAAACATGATGGCGCCCAGGCTCCACCAGTCGCACTCCATCCCGTACCCCTTCTTCATGAGGACCTCTGGGCAGAGGGAAGGGGTGGGTGTGTGGGTGGCGGGCGAGTATGGCAGGAGTGGGAGTGGGGCCACCTATGGGCGGCAGCGATGGACGCTCGCACGCACTCCCTTGCCCCTCCTTCCCAGCGCGACGCCTGGGCAAGTCCAGCGTCACAAGCTACTGCGCCACACCAGCGCTCCCACACATCCCCCCTCTTGGAGGGAGCTCGCTCACCGGGGGCGATGTAGTCTGGCGTTCCCACCGTGCTGAAGGCCAGCTTGCGCCGGTTCTGCTGCCAGTGCCGCAGCTGCTCGCTCTGCGAGGCGGCGTCGGGGGGCGAGGGCAGCTGCCTGCGGGAGGGAGAGTGGATGTGGATGGCGTGGGACAGGTGCCGAGAGGTGCGGCGGGCGCACGGGCTGGGACAGCCTGGTCTGGAATGGTCCCCAGATCATCCCTGCGGCGTGAGGTGGACATTCACTCGTCTGCACTGGAGCACCCGTGGGCTCCCCCCCTGGACCCCTGTGTTCGGATCAGTATCCTTTGTCCGCTGCCCCAACTCCCCATCCCCCAGCTCGAACTCCCACCTGAAGGCCACAGGGTCGGCAGCTGCTTTGAAGGCCGGCAGCAGGCTGACGTCCACGGGCTTGCACAGCCCAAAGTCCGACAGCTTCAATGGCTTTGTCCCTCCTCCCTCTCCGCCTTCTCCGTCAACCCCTCAAGAAATAAAAGGAGACCCGCCTGAGTCGCTGCGCTGCACCGCCTCGAAGGGCTTGTAGGTGTAGCCGATGAAGTTGGGGTCCGCCACCGGCCGGCTCCTGCTGCTGGCGCTGCCGGGGGAGTGCCCCGCGCGCGCGCCGCGTTCCGGGTCCTCGTATTGCTCGAAGTTCTGGGTGTCCAGCTCGTGGGTGATGGCCGGGCGGTAGGGCGGCGGCGACTCGTACAGCCGCACCCAGTCCACGCCGCGGAAGAAGGGGTGGCGCTTGATCTCCGCCGCGCCGTGCCCGCCAAGGCGCCGGTCCACGTCGCAGAGCAGGCGCATGATGAGGTCCTTGGCCGCGGGGGAGAGCGAGGCCTCCGCCTCGGCGGGGAAGCGCAGGTACGTGGCCCAGTTCACGATCTTGCTGCATGGGTGCACGGGGAGGTGAGGCGTGAGGGCAGCGTGACTGCGACGACTGGGACTGGCACACGGCAGGTCGCCCTGGCCGAGGAGGAAGACGTCGCCCCTGCACCCACGCTGGCCCAATCCCCAGACCTCACCGGCAGGTGGTCATGGGGTCGTCGGAGTAAAAGGGTGGGAAGCCCACCACCATCTCAAACATGATGGCGCCCAGGCTCCACCAGTCGCACTCCATCCCGTACCCCTTCTTCATGAGGACCTCTGGGCAGAGGGAAGGGGTGGGTGAGTGGGTGGCGGGCGAGTATGGCAGGAGTGGGAGTGGGGCCACCTATGGGCGGCAGCGATGGACGCTCGCACGCACTCCCTTGCCCCTCCTTCCCAGCGCGACGCCTGGGCAAGTCCAGCGTCACAAGCTACTGCGCAACACCAGCGCTCCCACACATCCCCCCTCTTGGAGGGAGCTCGCTCACCGGGGGCGATGTAGTCTGGCGTTCCCACCGTGCTGAAGGCCAGCTTGCGCCGGTTCTGCTGCCAGTGCCGCAGCTGCTCGCTCTGCGAGGCGGCGTCGGGGGGCGAGGGCAGCTGCCTGCGGGAGGGAGAGTGGATGTGGATGGCGTGGGACAGGTGCCGAGAGGTGCGGCGGGCGCACGGGCTGGGACAGCCTGGTCTGGAATGGTCCCCAGATCATCCCTGCGGCGTGAGGTGGACATTCACTCGTCTGCACTGGAGCACCCGTGGGCTCCCCCCCTGGACCCCTGTGTTCGGATCAGTATCCTTTGTCCGCTGCCCCAACTCCCCATCCCCCAGCTCGAACTCCCACCTGAAGGCCACAGGGTCGGCAGCTGCTTTGAAGGCCGGCAGCAGGCTGACGTCCACGGGCTTGCACAGCCCAAAGTCCGACAGCTTCATGTGCCCGCTGGCATCCAGCAGCAGGTTATCCGGCTTGATGTCGCGATGGATGTAGCCCGCGGCATGGATGGCCTCCAGGGCCACCACCGTCTGCAGCGGGACAGGTGGGACGGTGGGCCTGGGTAGAGTGGTTAGGGCCACCCATGCATAACCGCAAGGGCAGCATAGCGTGCACCGCCGCCCTTTTCGTATGCCCCTCAGTCCTTTGTGCGCGACCCTGTGTACCGACAAGCCATGCCACTCTTTCCACCCCTTCCCAACACCATCTCAGAAACCCATCCACCTGCGCGAGGTAGAAGCGGGCCATGGGCTCCGGCAGGATCTCCTGCCGGATGAGCAGGGTCATGAGGTCGCCCCCCGGCATGTACTCCATGACCAGGTATAGCATCTCCTCGTCCTGGAAGCTGCACAGAAGCCGCACCACGGCGCGGTGCCGCACCTCGGCCAGCACATTGCGCTCCGCGCGCACATGGTCGACCTGCCCGCGCCGCACCATCTCCGCCTTCTTCAGCTTCTTCACCGCAACCAGGCCGCCAGAGGCCCGGTCCCGGCAAATGCGCACCTTTATTGGTGATGCGGAATTGGTGGAGGAGCGGGTTGCAGATGGTAAAGTAAGGCGCAGGCATGCCGGGGAGGGTAATCATCCGTGGATCAGAGCAGTACAGAAGAGAACTGTAGGGCAGTGCTGCTAGGCTGCCACCAGCACGGCATCTCGAGGAGGTTTGGCTCAGCCCCCGACCAATGGGACCATGTTACCCTCTGGATCTGCACACGACAGATGAGGCCCTTCTCCCCCACATCCAGCTCCACGCACCTCCCCAAAGGCTCCCTTGCCGATCAGCTTGAGGGGCTCGTAGTCGTCCATGCTGAGCCGCTGGCGCTGCAGGCGGGAAAAGTCCCGCTCCCTGCGCTCCAGCTCGGCGCGGGCTGCATCCCTCTGCTCAGGGGTGAGCCCGGGGTTCTGCAGCTCCTCTTCTAGCGCCTTCCGCCTGTGAAGGAGGTGACAGTGCGAGGGGTTGGGAGGACACATGGGGTGCACTGGCGCGACCGCAGATAGGCAATCTATTTGCCAAGGAGTTCCTGGAAACCCTCAGATCATGCTCCGCCTCACCGGTCCTTGCGATCCTTGTGGTGCTGACTCTGAACTTTGTAAAGATGTTCGATGTACACTTTGGCGGTCTTGGCCTTGGCCAGGACCTCTTCGCTGAAGTACTCGTCCTCGTAACCCATCCTGTGCCTCGCGCCCGACTCGCAGGCCTTCAGCAGCTCCGAGGGCAAGAAGAGACACTTGCTATAGATCAGCGCTCTTGCATGATGGATAATGTTATCACGGATCGCATCTCAATGCGCCTAGGGCTCCAGATCAGAAGTCGCGTATTGCGTCCACCAGATTGTGAGACCATGTCTTTCGCGCGCGCAATTTAGTTCCGAGACTCTACGGGGGGCTGCTCCCAAAGGACTCTTTCGTGCCATTTCCAGCAAAGAGCGTTCTACGAAATGTACCTGAAGCACTGTTCGTTCCAGCAGAATAAGTTGTCTGCAAGTCCCAGGCTGCGCTGTGGGAGTGCTCGAATTCCCCTGCAATACTGGATTCCGCCGGTTACCGACTTCAAGCCAAGATGATCCCAGAGCGAATTGAAGGATGCGCCTTGGATGAAACTGCGCATCCCAAGGGAATAGTTTTAGAGTGTCTGGACAAAGGGATTCATGCAACTTGTGACAGATTTGCTGGTGCAGCCTCGATCGGCACTCACAGCGGTGGGACAAGTGCAAGGTACAAGAGCTGAAATTGAGAAAAGTCGCCTCGATGATGAGTACCCGAGTGCCACCAGGAACGCACCAAGATCGCTTGAGACGCTTGGGTGATTGCCAGTAGGAGCCCTGCATGCTCCTTGGCGCACACTAGACATGTGCAGATGTGAGCACCAGCATCACCCAAGCTGCAGCTGAAGGAGGCACCATGATATACCGACGACTGAAGCTTCTTAATTCCGTTGCGAACTACGTCCTGATATTGATCGGAGTTTGTGTCGTAGATGACACGTCGGAAGTGATCTCCGGATCTCGTAAGGCAAGCTGACCTGGCACTCTCTGCTCTGGCATAAGGGGTGGCTCCTCTCCTTTCCAACGAGTAAATATCTTCGACCCATTTTGAATAACGTTCAGTCGCCATGGACCGGCCTTCGGCTCGCCGCTTCGAGGGCAAGGTCGCGCTGGTGACGGCCAGCACCGCTGGCATCGGGCTGGGCATCGCCCGGCGCCTGGGCCAGGAAGGGGCCAAGGTGGTGGTGTGCAGCCGCAAGAAGGCCAGTGTGGAGGACACCGTCGCTGCCCTGCGCGCCGAGGGCATTGAGGCCGCGGGCCGGCCCTGCCATGTGGGCGATGCCGCCCAGCTCAAGGCCATCGTGGACTTCACGGTCCAGACCTACGGCGGTCTGGACGTCCTGGTGTCCAACGCTGCCGTGAACCCGGCATCCGGCGCCCTCCTGGACTGCCCTGCCCCCGTCATCGACAAGATTTTCGACATCAACGGTGAGTGGGCGGGTGGTGGTTTTTTGGATTTGAGAGGATTGAGGAAGTTGGACTCGCTGCCGTGCTGGAGGGTCATGCCGCCATGCCGTGACACAGCACCTGGGCCACGGGTGGGAGTCCAGTGCTTCTTCCACCCCCTCTCACCCCCCCCTTCAATGAAACCCTGCAGTGAAGTCTGCGCTGCTGCTGACCCAGGAGGCCGTGAAGCACATGTCCCGAGGCAGCTCCATCGTCTTCATCTCCTCCTATTCGGCCTTCAACCCCCCCGCCCCCATCGCGCTGTATGCCATCAGCAAGACCGCGCTGCTGGGCCTGACCAAGGGCCTGGCCACGGAACTGGGCCCGCGCGGCATCCGCGTGAATTGCGTGGCCCCGGGCATCGTGCCCACCAAGTTTGCGTCGGCCTTGGTGGCCGACCCGGAGCTGGAGGCCGCGCAGCGCGACGCCAACCTCATGCGGCGGCTGGGCCGGGTGCAGGACATGGCAGCGGCGGTGGCCTACCTCACCTCCGAGGACGCCTCCTACGTCACCGCCGAGACGCTCAACGTGTCGGGCGGCATGCCCAGCAGGCTCTAGGGGTGGACAGACACGCTTGGATCGAGAATGTTTAGAGGGTGTGAGGGTCTCACCTTTACCCTCTTCACAGCGTGACATGCCATTTGTGTATTGCACATCGGCCAGTGCTGATGGTACAGCGCCAGCGATTGCAGCACTAAAGATTTTCCCCTGTCTGACTTTCGCTGCAACAATTAGCCTTGGGATTGGGGATGGGGCTGCCGCTGCGTAGTGAGTGTATGCAGGGACACACCTTGGCCGTGCCAGAGAGGGAAGATGTCCCTTCCCAACTCGATTCTGTGCATGTCGGGGCTGGCTCCTGCCCCCCGCAGGCACATCAATTCGGAAGTAATACAGCTGCTGCACATGCCACAGAGAGTCTATCACATCGGCAGAGTGGGGTATGGCGGGCGAGGCAACGCATAGAGTCATACCACACAGCGGCGCAAGATGGAGTGGAGCTCCGGACGGCACTGTTCCAATGATCGGGGGGCCGACAAGGAGCAGCAACTCTTCAGGCATTTGCGCCCACATTTCGGCCATGCAGCATCCACCTCTGCCCGCGCGCCTGGTCACCCATCGACACCGCCGCCACCTCACACCGCGCCCTGGGCGAGCACAGCCTTGGCCACCTTCTCGAAGGACGCAATGTTGGCGCCGTTGATGAGGTCTGTGTCGTACTCAGCCGCCGCACCCGTGATGTCGTCGTAGATGGCCTTCATGATGCCCTGCAGCTTGGTGGTCACGTCCTCGCGCGACCAGGGCACAAAGGAGCGGTTCTGTGCCATCTCCAGCCCCGACACCGCCACACCTCCCGCGTTGGAGGCCTTGCCCGTGACAAAGGCCACACCCTCGGCGGCGGTGAACACCTCCTCCGCCTCCAGCGTGCAGGGCATGTTGGCGCCCTCCAGCACGATCTGCACGCCGTGCTTCACCAGTGCCTTGGCCGCCTCCTCCCCCAGCTCGTTCTGCGTGGCACAGGGGAAGGCGCCGAAAACCTCCGTGTCCAGGAACCAGGGCTGCGCCGCGTCGCCGCGGTACTCCACGCCCTCCAGCTCCAGGTCCTCCAGCTTGCCGTCGTGCTGCGACTTGAGCTTCATCACCGCGGCCAGGTCCTCACGGCTCAGGCCCTCGGGCGCGTAGATCATGCCGCGTGAGTCCGACATGGACAGCACCACTGCGCCCTTCTCCAGCAGCAGCTCCACGCAGTACTGCGCGACGTTGCCAGAACCGGACACCAGGCAGCGCTTGCCCTCCAGCGAGTCGCCGCGGTCTGCCAGCAAGTACTCGGCCAGGAACACTACGCCGTAGCCGGTGGCCTCAGGCCGGATCTCGGACCCGCCCCAGCCCATGCCCTTGCCAGTGAGCACGCCGGCGCGGTCGCGTGTGATGCGCTTGTACTGCCCGTACATGTACCCGATCTCGCGCCCGCCCACGCCGATGTCGCCGGCGGGGACGTCAGTGTCGGAGCCGATGTGGCGGTACAGCTCGGTCATGAAGGACTGGCAGAAGCGCATGATCTCGCTGTCGGACCGACCTGGGCACGTAGGTGAGGGTTGCCATGGAGGTGGATGGGGTGGGGGTTGGGAAATTTAGAGGAGAGGCGGAGGGACAAGCCGAGGACATACATTCTGCTACCGCAAGGGTAGTGGCAAGGTGACCAGCACATGAAGAGGAATGCTTCTGCTCAATGCATGGAAAAAGGGACCTCCACACAAGCAGAATAAGGACACGGGAGGCCTGGCACACATAGGCATGGTGTACACCATGAGACGGCAGGGACAGCACGACTATTCGTGCTCTCTCACACACTGGGCCCTCATGCTCCTGTCAGGGAGGGGAGAGACAACCCCGGTTCCCCCCTCACACCACCTCCCCCCAACCCCAAGCCCCAGCCACAATCACCAACACAATCCAAGCACGCCGCTCACCCTTGGGGTCAAAGTCGGCGCCGCCCTTGCCGCCGCCCATGGGCAGCGTGGTGAGTGCATTCTTGAAGATCTGCTCAAAGCCCAGGAACTTGATGATGGACAGGGTGACAGAGGGGTGGAAGCGCAGACCGCCCTTGTAGGGGCCGATGGCGGAGGAGAACTGGACGCGCATGCCGCGGTTCATCTGCCACACGCCCGCGTCGTCCACCCAGGGCACACGGAAGATGACCTGGCGCTCCGGCTCCGTCAGCATGCGGAAAGCCGGGAGGTACTCGGGGTGCTTTTCGAAGACAGGGGCGATGCTGAGGGCCATGCCGCGCACGGCCTGCAGGAACTCGGCCTGCTCCGGGTTGCGGGAGTAGACCTCCTCCAGGATGGCCTGGCCACATGACAGGAGTAGGGTTTGAGTGGCCAGCTCCAGCCGACGGACACCGCACTCTCCGGGGTTGGGAGGGAGGGTGGATCAGGCAGTGGAGACAATAGCTCAGGCATGCTCAGCAGCACGCACCTTCAGGCCGTCATGTTGGATGCCCTTTTGCAGTTTCTGCAGGTTGCTGTCGACGTCGCCCTGGTAGTCCTTACCCTACGGGAGAGAAGGGGCGAGAAGTCGCAGCATGCGGTCATGTGTCGAGATGTAAGTTGTCGAGTGGGCCATTCATGCTCATAGCGGCCTGCTGCGCACCATTCTGGCTGTGAGAGGCAACCCTAGTGTGAGGGAGGGAGGAGGGTTTCACTTGTGTCCACGATTTCCTGAGAGCAACGGCGAGGCGACTTGTAAACACTTTGCAGATCGAAGTAATGTGTTAATTTGGGATTAGGGTTGGTTTTTACTACACCTACAAGCCCTGCAACGTGGGTATGTATACTCGGGCACACGCCGAGTGAACTGGCAGGGATCGGCGCGCTTTCTTTTTCTACCGGACAAGGCAGATCGCACGTGCGCGAGAGCTGCGCGCACGTTTTTGTGATTGGCTGGCAACGCCGCGAATCTCTGCTCCTCTAAGGGGGCCAGGCAACATTCGTAGCTATTGTGGTGAAACTACCCGAACCAAGGATTTCCAGCACGAATCACATCGATTCGACATGCGTGCAGGAAGGCTGAGTGTGCACGTTCAGGGCGTGGCCCTGAACGCAAACCCAGATGAGCCCCTGCGATTCGAGGCAGAACTCCCTGGTGTGGGCAAGGTATCCTCTGGTCCCTCCTCGGATCTGCGCTGGGAGCAAGGCCTGACCTTGGAGCTGAACCCTGCGAGCTCCAGCACCCTCCAGGTGTCCCTGAGCACCCTGAGCGGCCTGGTGGTCGCCCGTGGATCCACCTCGCTCGACTGGACCGATGCCGACAAACAGGAGCTGCGCCTGCCTCTGGAAGGGGCTGGAGGAGAGGTGGACCTCATCCTGCGCTACTTCCACTGCCGCACTCCGGGTGAGTGGTGTCGGGTTCCCGACGCCGCGTGAGAATTCTCCGGAAGGGGAGCTGCCTGGAAGCCCCGTGTACAGCTTAATACGAACGATTTCGAGCCCACCCTGATCGTCTGCCAATACCCAGGGAAAGGCCGTGACGGTCTGGGACGGGAGCTTCTGGACGGGGATCTTTTCCGGGAGCCATCCTTAAGCGGCCACCTGAGCCCCGTCAGCTCTCCCAGGGCGGGCCTGGAGGCCAACCGCGTGCCGCTGCGTCCCCGCCGCGGCTTACCAGAGGCCACCTGCGCCTGAGGAGAGAGGCTTTAGTCCCAAGCAATGTGTCACATGTCCCACCGAGACTGAACAGGAGGGTAGGAGGGCGGAGAGCTGGAGCGGAGAAGTGAGCGAGAAGGTGTTGGGGCGTCGCGGCGTACCAACAGTGTACATCCACCAGCCTTGTATGGAAGGTTTTCAGCCTGCATGGCACACCAGTCTGTGTTGTATTTTTCGGCCTACCATTGGGGGCCATATTTTCATAAGCCAGGACGTGCTAGCTGTGTAGAGGCTGCTGTCTAGGGGCCGCTCCTCGGCGGCGCGTAAGTTATTCCCCTACCATGATGGCCTGAGACGCGCTGTCAACATTTTTGAAACTTCAACAGGAACGTGATGTGGCAGTCAAGGGGGACACAGTCTCGTGGGGTCTGTCTGGCAGGGGGAAGGTCAGTGGGTGTGACACCTCATCGAGGGCGTCCACCCCTGCCCCAGCGAAGGCACGGGAACTCACGGTCACAGCACGCCGTACGCCGGCTGCGAGGGGTCGGCCAGCTGCCCCGCGGCCAGCGCCCCAGACTGAGGCCCCACGGGGGTGGTCGTGGCGGAGGGCAGGAACTCGGCCGCGCCCCCCTTGGCCAGCTCCGCCTTGCCCTGCGCGCTGGGCAGCCCGCTCAGCAGGCCGCCCGCCGGCACGGGGGGCGGCTCGTGCACCTCGTCGATGCCGCCCTCCACCACCTCCACGCCCAGGTGGACAAACCCAGCCGCGGCGCCCTCCGCACCCGTCAGGGGGACCTTGGTCTCGTGCAGACCCGGGCCGTAGACCAGCGGGATGCTCAGCGTGCCCTTCCCCACCGTCCTGCACGCGGGGGGTGGGGTGGAGGATACGAGGGTCATGCTCATGCACCTCGAAGGTCTCATCCCGGTGGGGCAAGGAAGTGGGGCACCCAGAGTCTGCATCCCAGGAGAATGGATGTGCAAGCACCCCCCCTTCAACATCCCACATCCCCTCTGGCCGGGTTCCCTGCATCACCCCACCCACGCACTTATCGAATCGGAGGTAGTTGTTCTGCTTTACTTTCACTTTGAGGGTGGGCGACTCCTCGTCGGGCGATGCGTCGGCGAGGGGGAACTTCAGGGTCTGGTTCCAGACCTGTGTGGAAGGCGGAGGGACAGGGGGAGGGCGCTGTGCTCGCTGCACGTTGCACTGAACATCACAATGTAGTAAGCCATGCATTACAACCTATCTCACCGGGTACAAGCCCTTGGCAGGCTTGGTGCGCTCCTTCTCGTCGTCCAGCCTGAGTATGACATACGTCCCGCCGGACTCCGTCTCCAGGTTGGCGCCCGCCCGGACATGGACGCGCAAATGTCTCGAGATGGTCATCGTGAGCAGCCTGTCGAAGTGAATTGTGCCTCAAGGGTGTCGTGCGGGGTTCTCGATGGACAGGGGGAATGCCGTGGAGGAACATCGGGAAGTCCCATGAAGCGTTCTGATGGAATTTGCCTGGAATCTGTGCAGCTCCTCATCAAATGTGGGCGATGTATTGCTCAGCAGCCTAAGATCGTATTATTAACATATAAGACGACACAAAATTGCTGCTCTCCAGGCGGCCGAACTTGGGAAAACCCAAGGCACAAGTAACTCCATGAAGACTCTAGCACATCATGTTCTACGACACACTGTGGCAGCAGCTTGGTATCGGCCCAATGGATGGCCTGTAATAATGCCAGTCGTGGCTTCCATGATCAAGTCCAGGGCCCGCTGATTTTTATGACCCACATGAAGCTGTACCTGGCAAAATGCTCCAAGGCCACAATCTTTAAATTGGCTTCAAGGATGCCCATATCATCCAATGAAATGGCTACATATTCCAGTCAATAGCCCAATTCAGGGGCTTCACATGATTTGGAGACAAGTACTGTTCACAGCCACCTGTCACAAGGGCGTCCAGATGAGTACTGTGGTCCCATCCGACCATTGCAAAGGGGGAAACGCGAAGCACGACTCTTCGACAAGATCAGGTGTCCAGCTCGTGCATTCTGCGCATCGCCGAGCCCATCTGTACACGTTAGCTACACTGGTCTATTTACACTTTTTCTCTGCCTTGCTGTGTCTCCCACAGAGGCTGGCGGTGTCGGGAGGGTACGGGAGACAACCCACGAGGGCCACCACCACGGGCGAAACATGGCAGCCCCAGACCAGCAGGTGCAGGAATAAATGCTTGCCTCAGATGTGTAGGGGTGGGTGAAAACATCGTGCGGGATGCTTTGAAGCCCCTTACATTCACCTCCGTCCCGAGAGCCCTACCGCAGGCCCCCAACAGCTTTGGCTCCTTCCCAAACCAGCCCGGGCCCCGGACCTTCACGTACTACCCCAACGAGTCCCTGAGGAGGTTGTGGCAGGAGGCAAAGGACGAAATTGCCATGACGGAGCCTGACCCAGCCCACTTCAAGAACCAGACCCTGCCCCTGGCACGCATCAAGAAGGTGGGTGGGGCGGGCGTCGGCGCAGGGCCCAGGTGCACCCCCTGTGAGTCATGGCCACTGCACGTGGATTGGCGTGCCAGTCACGGTGCCCAGCTGAAGTACACCGTTCCCTCCCCTGCTCTTTCCTTCAGATCATGAAGTCGGATGAGGATGTGCGGATGATCAGCGCCGAGGCCCCCGTCCTCTTCGCCAAGGCGAGTGGGTGTACGGCTGTGTGGGGGTGATTGCGCCCCCCCCCTCCACCCACCCCTCCCTTCAACTCTTGCCCCCCTCTCTTGATCCCTCTCAGGCCTGCGAGTTCTTCGTGCTGGAGCTGACCCAGCGTGCGTGGCAGGCGGCGGAGGAGAACAAGCGCCGCACGCTGCAGCGGAACGACGTGGCCATGGCCATCCAGCACATCGACGTCTTCGACTTCCTGCTGGACATTGTGCCGTATGAGGAGCCCGCGCCCGACGGCGCCGGGGTCGCGGCGGCCCAGCCCCCGCCCTCCCCCGCCCAGCCCGGCGCCGGCGCCCCGCCCACCGCCGTGCACCCGGTGCCCGGGCAGGGCGCGGCATATCATGCACAGCAGGCGGGGCCAGGGGGTTACGGCACCAGCCCGCGCTTCCTGCAGACGCAGGGCATGCAGTATCCGCAGTACCACCCGAGCATGGGCCCCCCGCCGCAGGCGGGCATGTACGGGTCGGGCGGGGGCCAGCAGCAGTTTGTCGCGCCCTACCACCAGCCCATGGCGCCCGTGGGGGGTTACGCGCCGCTGCAGGGGGCGTACCCGCCGTCAGGCATGGGCGCGCCGCCGGGCCCCGGCGGGCACTGACGGCGCGTTGTGACGCTGAGGTAGAGCAGGCCTCCAGAGCCGACCCCTGGGCGGCCAGTCATCCTCTCCCCAGTGCATTCTGTGTACTCCACCCCTCCAAGGCGACCTGCAGGAGTCGTTTCCAAAGCGTCCCTCACCCGCCGCCGTGCAGCGCCGTGCCACCCACTTTTCCACGTCTTTTCCACGTAATGTGCCAAGGTCCCACCTCCGTCCCTGACCCTGTCCCACCCCCTGCTCCATGCTTCCCCCTGAGACGATCCAGCCTGTCACATACACTGTTGCGATGCCCAGGAGGGGTGAATTCAGGGGCAGGCGGCTAGCCACTGCGAGGAGCAGGGGTGACTCATTAAGTGTACGGGTGTTGAGTCCAGGGCACGACCTGGAGCCCATCACCAGGGACTCGGCTGCCTGGGGTGGCCGGCATTTGCTCCTGGCGGGCAACATTCACAGGCTGTGCTTTTGAGGAACAAGAGTCAGCTCAGGCGGCGGTCAGTCAGACTGGCCAGCCTCAACACTCCTCCGCCCCCCCCCTTGTCCTCCTCGCCGCGGCTCAGGTCCGCAGCGGCAGGCACCCGGCCATGGCATCCATGAAGGCCTCGGCGAAGCGCGCGTCGGAGAAGCGGTCGGCGCGGCGCCGGGCCGCCGCCGCGACCTCCAGCCTCTCCAGCTGTTGCATGCCCAGCACCCGGGTCAGCGCGGCGGCGTACTCCTCCTCGGTGACGCAGCGGAAGCCCGTGGGGGTGGCCCCGCCCGACCCCGGGCCGCCGCCCTCTGGCTGCACGATGTCTTCCCGCGGCCCGCCCGAGTCGTGGACTACGGGCACCACGCCCGCGGCCATGAACTCCACGATGCCGATGCCAAAGTGCTCGTCGCGCATCGTGTGCAGGCCCACCACCGCCTCGCCCAGCAGCGCCTGCAGCTCCGGGAAGGGGAGGTTGACCAGGAAGTCGACGCTACCCTCGAGGCCCAGCTCCCTCGCCAGGGCTGCGGGTGGTGGCCGGGGGGGTGGAGGGTGGGGGTGGAGGTGCGGGGGCCCATGTGCGTGTGACGTGGCATGTCTGTGGTCAGGATGACGCACACTGCATCAATCGAACGGCTGACTCTGATACAGGCGAGCATCTTTGAGCCCTCTGTCGCCCCCTGCCAGGTACAGGCTTCCTCCTGCAGCAAGCATCCCGCGCGTACTCGATTTCAGCGCCCTCCACCCACCTTCAGAACCCCTGCCATCAATCAACCACTCCTTCCCCCTGCCCGTCTCGTCCATCCAAACCCAGCACCAACCTTTGAGCTCCTCGATCCGGGCGGCGTCCTCCGCATTCCGGCAGCCGCCGACCAACTCCAGCCGTGCCGCCAGCACGGCATCACCGGCGTCGGACTCCAGGCGCTCGGCGTCACGCCGCGCACGGGCAAAGGCGCGCAGCTGCAGAGCGTGCTGCTTCTCTGGTCGGAACTGGGACACGGAGACGATGTAGAGCCGCTTGAGTCGCCGGCTCAGTGGCAGCTCCTGATGGGAGGATGGGGTGTGGTGTGAGGAGGGGAGGTGAATGGGTGGGATGCACTGGGGGAGGGGGAGGAAACTGGCAACCAAAAGCGAGATGGGGCCCAGCAAGGACCGGATGGTATGGCTGGACCTTGGAATCACACAGATATCGACTGCCCTGCACCGCACCCCGCCCGTACATCGCCCGCCGCCTCGGCACGCCTCCCGTCCTCTTCAAGTAACCTGGAGCGCCTCGGTGTTGCAGGGCGGGTAGACGAGGAAGGGGTCCCGGTGGCCTAGCCAAAGCAGGCTGATGTGGCGCTTGGTCCAGCTGGAGTTGACCATGACGGTGTGGGCGCAGAGGCCGCAGAGGCTGTAGGCCGCCGCCAGCGCGCCGTAGTAGGCCACCTTGGCCAGCGTTGCGGGCGTGCTGGCGCCGACGTCGTTGTTGAAGGCGGCCTCCCGCCCCGCCACCCGCGCCAGCATGTCGCTGGAGATGGTGGGGTAGTGGACGTAGGCCGCGACGCGGCAGCCGAGCAGTGAAGCCAGCGGGTAGGGGAAGGCCCAGCCGGTGGTGTCCAGCCAGACGGCGGGGACGCGGCGGCGCAGGCCCGCAAAGGCCACCCGCACCGAGGCCAGGGCCTGCCGCAGCATGGTGAATCGGGGGTAGCGGGCAGGCAGCAGCTCCTCACGCGATTCCAGCCTGATGACCTGCAGTCCGCACGGGGTTGAGTGAGAGGGAAAGGCGGAGAAGGTGGACCTTGGCCGCGGGGTGGTCGAGGTGATTGAAAGAGCTGATGACTGTGGATGCATGCTGTGAAGGGGGACGCTCTCGCGTGCGTTGCATACGGTGAGAAGGAAGCATACGCCATACACACATGGGATGCAGCCGAGTATGATGGGGGCACACTTTCTTTGCGGCAGGCATGGAATGTGTCTTCTTCCCACCGTACTGGCTGCATTACTATGAAAGTCGACCTCTTCACATCCCTGACACTCACTGTGAAGGTTGGCTCCACACGGATTTGGAACTGGGATTCAACGCGCGAGACGAGCTCCGAGGGCAAGAGGCTGCCTCCCACATACAGTGCAATCTGCCAAGGGGGTTGTGCATTGGGAGTGGGAGTCGACGCCAGAAGGGAAAGCAAGATCCAAATAGCTGCAACAATCTCTGGAAAGGGTACAAGGCAGAACGGCACAAAGAGGCGGGGAGGGGGGGTAAGTTCCTCAGTGAGCATGTGCCCTGCCAGTTGAATTTGGCTGTTGAGCTCGCGGCCCATATGACCAAGCAGATAATGCGCCAGGCCTTGCCATATCCAAACATCAGGAATCAGATTGAAAAACGTACTTGTAGATCAGGGCGAGTGACCTGCAGCGAGCGGATTCCGGCCCTGCAAGGGATGTGATCGTTGGGAGGCTCAGAAAAGTCCCCTCAGACTTGATGATCATCACTCACTGCCAAACCACAACATGAGGATGGCGCAATCTGAGAAGCACATAACCCAGCCCACCATAGCACACGCTCTCCTCCCCCTCCAGCGTCTGCAAAGGGATGGAAGAAGCCCACAAGATCCTGACGAGATGGGGGAGGGTTAGCGATTGAACATAGAGTCTGGTCAGCCTTTGGGACGAGCTGAAATCAATACGCATCCATTCGATGGACTGAATCATACAACCGATTAGTGGCAGGCATTCCCCCCACCTTTGTCGGACGAGGGAACTTGTAGAGGGTCCAGATCTTGAACAGCACAACCAGCACTCCCAGGACCAGTAGGAGCAGGGACGCTGCCAGCAGGATGAACTCCTGCGGTGTAGTAGATTCAAAACAGTTGATAACCTCAAACTCAATGGAAACACATAGAGTAGGTGATCCCCTGACACGGCTCACCAGCCCAACGGTGAGGGTTACGATGACCAACCCCACGCCCAGCAGCGAAAGCAGGGGCATGGCGCCTTACAATCCTCACGACTTCTTCATGCTCTACATTACGCATACATACGAGAGGGGCGGTGTTACCGAAGTGTTGTCTGGTGAGAGATTGCCGCCCACGAGTTTGTCGGCAGGGGCCTCGATCTTCCGACAGCGTCGCAGCATGCACATCACAGTCTGGGCAATCCTCAGCAGGCCCCAACCCGCGCGTGGAGTAGGAACTTATTGTTGATCCTCTGATCAGCAGATCCGCTGCTTTGCAGCTCTGCGTTATAAGTGGGTGGATGTCAAAGTGGCACAGGCGTTTCCACAGCAACCCTGAAAGCGTTGTCCATAGCACTTTGGTTTGCTTTGGCATACAGTCTGCTCGATCTGCATCAATCTTGAATGTCGCTCGTGCTCAGAGGCACGAAAAGAATTGCATTTACCCTTTTGTCCTGCTGATGGTGGAGTCCCCACTGGGGATCAGGGTGGTAGATGCAGGAAGAGTGAATTGCGTGGTAACAAATGGCGTGCCACAGCATCACTATACTATTTCGTGCTTTTAAAACCTTTCAATCAATAATCCATCAGAGGCTCCTCCATGGCAAAACATGCTGGGAGGGGTTTTGTCAGCAAGTGAAGAAAGGGTGTTGTCGGAAGTCGCAGGGAGAGTGAATCGCAAACAGTAGAGCTCGTATATACTTGAGCAAGCCGATCAGACTGTCGCAAATATACTAGCAATGTATACTGATTTCTTCCGAGCATTGAATCAGACGCCTGGCCCTCTTTGCTGGTTTGTACTCACCACCATGTTTGACTTGCAGTGAGAGTCAAGACGCGAGGGGAAGGCGATGCCAGGTCCCACTCCCAGCGATCCTTGGGGCCAGGTGAGTGAGTGAGAATTGCGAGGACTGCTCCTGACCTCTTGTAGCCTGCGGATGGAGATTCGTATTGTCCCAGACCCCCCCGGACCCCTCCCTGGCGCAGCTTGACGATGTGGATGGCACGGCTTGCTACACGACGCTGGGACTGGACAAGCGGTGCAGCCAGGAAGACGTCAAAAAGGTACAAAAGCAGCTCGACGCATCAAGCATGCGGCTGGAGCGGTCAAGGTGTTTTTTGTTTACCACCACTGGAGGGGTCCCCACCACCTCGTCCAGCCTCCAGGCCAGACCCCACCCCAATCCTCAACCCGACCCGCACTTGTCTCCCCAGGCCTACCGGCGACTGGCGCGCACGCTGCACCCAGACAAGGGTGGGCGGCCCGAGGCCTTCTCGGCCCTGCAGCACGCCTTTGAGGTCCTGATCGACCCCAAGCGGCGGGCGGTGTACGACACCTGGGCGGCCCAGCTGCAGTACCGCAGCGTGCGCATCGTGGCACAGCAAGCGGTGCGCTGGGTGCTGTGAGGTAGTCGGCGTGAGCTGCCCGGCTCAGGGTCCAGAGAGACCTTTTGCATGCCACCTCACACCCCACCCTTTCCACCACTCAGGGGCGCGGCGGCGAGGACATTCTACTGGATGAGTTTGATGCGCTGGGGCTGCACTGCGAGCCGGCCACCCAGCTGGTTGTCACCTGCGAGGTGTGCGGCCGGCCCGCCACCAAGCAGTGCTGGACGTGTGGCATGCCCATCTGCGAGTTCTGCACCCTCAAGCAGCACTGGAAGGTGGGGTGGGAGCAGGAATGGGTCCAGGTGGGTGCACTGGTGGACCCAGCGAGGCCCGAGGGCGACACATGACGTCAAGTGGAGCCCACAGGACTGATTTAGCTGGACGACATGCCAGGGTGGGGGATGCACTTTAAACCATGGGTGGAGCACAGCCTTACTTTCAACCCATCCTCGAGTGTGTTGTCGAGGACGGCTGGTCACCCCTGTTATATTCAGCGCGAGGTCATACCCAACACCCTGTGATGCCCATCAACCTCCAGTTTCAAAATCCATCCCCCGTCCAGGACAACTTCCCGCTGCACTGGCCACTCATCAACTCGGACCACATGCGGGAGCGCCTGGCTCGGAGGGAGCTGGAGAAGAAGCGGCTGGAGGATGCGAGCCAAGCAGCGCTGGAGGGCCCCAACCACCGCTCGGAGCGGGAGCTGAGGGACGTGCGGGCCTTCAAGGCCGCCGCGCAGGCGGCGCTGGCGGGGCCCGACCCCCGTGGGACTCCTGTGCAGGGCCTCACCCGCTTCTACATGTGGGCCCAGACCGAGCGGGCCGTTCTCATCGCGGCGCGCGTGCCCACAGGTGGGGATGGGCCCGGGGGGAGGCTGCAGCGAAGGGGGAGAGGGTCGGGAGCCCGCGCATGCCTTCGTCCTTGAGCGGATGTCCCGGGACCTGGCACGCTGCGGCAGGGCTCTGGCTGGGGCAGACCTGCATCCCCTCTCACATGGTCTTTCCGTTCTTCATCAACAGGGTATGCGGATCGGGAGCTGGTGGTGGAGGCGAGTGCCGCCGGCCTACTGATCCAGAGTGAGGAGTCGCCAGCCCTCATTGACCGCGACTGGGCCTTCCCCGTGCTGGCAGGTGCCCCCGTGGAGGTCTCCAGGTATCGCCCAGATCTGCGGGGGGGGAATCCGATTCAGAGCATGACACATGTGAGCGGGCCCTTCCTGAAACTTGGGTGCGCTCAGAAACGGCGATGGCTTTCCATTCGGCCTAGCCCATGCACTCCCTTGGGAGGCAGCGCTGTTTGATGCAGAGTATGCTTGGCACCAACGCACGCTTTCTCAAACCCCCGCGCGCAAACTGCAGGACCGTGGACAACCGGTTCTGCACAGTCAGCGTCACGAAGGCTGAATACGGCCAATTCTGGACGCGGCTGTTCAGGGGGGACTCTGACGGCCTGCGGTGCCTGGAGCCCCCCTACCGCCTCACAGGTGCGCCCCGCTCTCGACACGGGGGCATGGGGCGTCGATGGTGGAGGGCAGCGCCGCCATTCTGGGGTCTTGAGGTGCGATTGCCCGCCACTCCCGTCGGTAGCTTTCCCCACGAAGAGGGGTCCACACCCTCCCCGCCCCAAACTGACGCCAGATGGCCCGGATGATGTGGTGATGGAAGTGACCCTGCCCTTCTGGATCGAGCCTGCCGACGTCGGGGTCGTGTTCTCGGAGACCGGCGTCGATGTGATGGTCCGCAACACGCTGCACGTCTCGCGCACGTTCTGGAGGAACGAGTGAGCCTGCGATGGGGGGGGAAGGGTGTAGCGGCGTGGTGCGGATCAGGTGCATGGTTGCCATGGGTGGAGCCACCTCTGTGTGGCATGGGGCCTGGAGCGTTCAGCCCCATGGGGCTTCCCGCTGAGTGTGCAGCCAAGGCCCTTGGACCTCCTCCACCCACCTGCTGTCCACGACAGGGAGGAGGCAGGCCGGCGCAGGGCCTACGCTGCTGTGGACGTGGATGAGTGCCTGTGGTCCCTGGACGAGGAGGAGCTGGGCGGGGAGGCGGTGCGCATCCTCATGGTCACCTTGGCCCGGCCCGAGCTGACGGAGGAGGAGATCACGTGGAAGAAAGGTCCGGGCATGGATCAGCAGGTTGTGCGGGTGGCACTCACGAGGCTGCCAAGAGAGGTGCACGACCTTGCGGCCATGGGCCTCCCATGGCGGATGCAAGCTCGTCTGACGCTCTGCCTTCCATCGAGGTACCTCCGTTTCTTACCCCCAGACCATGGCCCTCCCACCCCCTCCTCACCCAAAGGCCAACGGCAGGACAACCGGTCCAAGGAGCACCCTGGGATGCTGGGCCGGCGGGGCTACCGCTTCTTCATCGAGGATGAGGACGAGTTTGAGCTGGAGGACATGCTCCAGGCAGCCTGCTTTGCGGAGGCGGGCCGCACCTTCGTCCCCGCCAAGCCCTGGGAGGCGGGGGCCCAGCCGCGGTGGGTCGACGCGGCGCAGGCACTGCCGAAGACCGTGCAGGCCCTGCTGGCGCAGCTACCCCGGCCCGGACCCGAGCCGGCCGGCGGCTGAGGACGACGCAGGGGCAGAGGTCGGTGGTTTTGGGCCCTGTCCATCCTCATCCCCCGCCCAACATCGCGACCATCCTCGTTACAAGCATCTCCATTCATTGCACACCCTGCAACACAAGCACCATGCCCAAGGGGGCTTCATCGTAACCCAGGTCTATGTGTCCGTGGGTGAGGCGTCAAACTCCCTGCCAGGCAGGGTCGGCATGCCCCTTGTCCCCACGGCATGTGCCCAAGGAGGCGCAGGGCACAAGATGGGAGGGCCCGCGGGCAACCATCGCAAGATTGGCGCCGCAGGCACGAGCATGTGACGGTGTGGACAGGCCGTGACAGCTGGCAAGGCGCCTTCCCTCCCTCGCGTCCCTCACCACCACGCCACGACCGGGTTCTGCAGCCTGCCACGCATGAAGGCGAGGCGGGAGGGCGTCTCTCGTTTCCCAGCGCTCGGGGGCGCCGCCCCCGGCCCCTCCGCCGGGCCCCTTCGTTCGGCCCCAAACCATCGCTCCAGCGGGCGGCAGGCTGCCAGGGCGGTGACGCCGTGCTCCGGGTACACCCCCGCCTTCACGTCCTGGATCAGCTCCATGCCGATCACGCTCAGCTTCTCCATCGCCTGGCGGCGTCAGGGTGGGGTGTGATGGAGCGTGTGGGTCGAGCTTCACAACCTGCGACTGTGTGGGACCATGGGCTCATGAGCAGCCTGCCCCGCCACGCATCCCCCCTTTCCCTACCCAGGCACCCACCGCAGTGGCCCTGTGGCTCTTGGTGTAAGCAGGCCCAGTGAACGTGTGGTTGTAGCCGGCAGAGGGGATGTGGGGCCGGTGCACCACGTAAATGGATGGGTCTGCCACCAGCTGGAAGCCGGTGGCCACCATCGCGTGCATGTGCGAGATCGTGGGGGGGGCCGAAGGACAGCGTGGAGGCGGGGGCGGGGGTCCGGGCAGGGTCCCTGCCCCAGGGCGCCCAAGGCCACGGGGCACATTGACGAGGCGGCACGGCCGCAGCCCGATCCGCACCTCCATGTGCCCACCTCTGCTCGGCGCATCGTCCACCAGGCTGGGCATCCTGCCCCTCTAACCCCTTGGCCACATGCCCCTCGACCCCCCTCACGCCACCCACCCACCTTGTCCCAGCCATAGCCGCGGAAGCGCTCGTCAAACCAGGGCACGTGCAGTCTGCTCACCAGGATGAAGGGCTCGTAGCCGCGCTGGTAGGTGATGGGGTAGGGCGTGCTCGACCTGAACCAGCGGTTGTAGTCCGTGGCGCTGCAGGGGCGGGGCCGGGATCACTGGTGCGAGCGAGGTGGAGAGCGGTGCCACAGTGCGGCGAGTGGGCAAGCAGGGGCTTGTGGGTGGCCGTCATTGCCGTGCATGCATGGGGCATGGGCCAGCCAGCCAGGCTGATGACTCATCCAGGTGTGGCAGTTGCTCAGTCCCCCCCACCCCCCCTCACTCCATTGCATGAACAGTGCAGGCATACTTGTGTCCTTTGAGGAAGAAGGGTGCAAAGCGCGTGATGCGGCCGGCCGCCATCTCTGCCTTCATGTAGGCCTTGCTCCCGGCTGTGGCACGCAGGGGCGGGCATGTTTGAGAGGGTGACAGATGGATATGGTGAGCAGGGCTGAGCCTGGTCGGCAGTCTGGGACCAGGATTTCGTGCACGCAGTCGCCTCCTGCAGAGCCGCGGTACTTTGGCCAAGGGGCAGTCTTGAGGCAATGGACAAGACACCTCGCCGCTGTCGCCTGGGGCAATGACATGTTGCCCGCCCTCACCACCCAGCCCGCCCCTTCCCTGCTCCTCCGGCCGCCTCCCCTCCTCCTTCCCACCTGCCGCGGAGTCGTGCGCCACGGCCGTGCCCTCTGCCAGGCTCAGGTTCAGCGTTGTCTGGAAGGCGGGCAGCACGATGGCCTGCCGCCGGGCATAGGTGGCGTCCAGCGCCCAGACCCAGGCGTCGCGCGCCAGCAAGCGCTCTCGCGCCCCCGTGCTGACCAGGAAGTCGACGTCCAGGAGTAGGACCAGGCGCGTGCGTGCGCGCGCGATGGCCTGATTGCGCAGCGAATTGTAGGGGTAGGCCCAGCTCTCATTGGCTGGCACAGCGTCGCCCACCAGCACCAGGTCCAGGGCGCATCCTCCTGCGGCGTGGCGGGCGGGGAGGATGTGTGGCTGGGACGGCGGAGGATGGATGACCAGGGATGGGAGCTGTCGAGGTTGTGCTGTGGGTCTGGCATCGGCTGCCGCAAAGGCCTGGGCTCCCGGGCTTTACTGGCCTGGGTTTTCCAAATTCTCACCAGCAGCTGAGGCAGGGGCATGACAAAGCAAAGTCCCTTGGGTTGGGATTCTCCTCAAATGGAGTCCTTACATTCCCAATGTCCTTTGAATCCCCACAAGCTCTACGAGTCCCTGCCTCAGGCGCCACCCAACCCCGGCCCAGAAATCCACCCTTGCACCCTCACCCGCTTCCTCCATCCTGGCGTGGAGGTCTGCAGCCTGTGCCCTTGCTTGTTCGATGTGCAGCGCATTGTTCGTGTCAAACAGCTCCAGGGACAGGTACAGGATGGCGACCACTGGGCCGCCCCAGCTTGTGCACTGGCCCTCCAGCATGTAGCTCCTGTGAGTTTGTGTGCAAGCGAGAGGGTGCATGGTACAGACTAGAAGGATAGAGGGGGTTCGGGGGGCGATTGGAGGTTGCAATGACAGCATGCAGGCGGCCGCCATGGCGCAGTGTCTCGAGTTGCAGAGGGTGGTCCACTGGAAGCACGCACCCAGACCCGGAAAGAAGTGGCTCAGAGGGGCTCCAAGCAACAGGGTAGAGGCCTGTGATCCCTGTGCCTGCCTTTGGGCCCAGCCCCCTCAGTACCTTTCGATGCCAGTGTTGGTGCACAGTGTGATATCATCCAGGCTATGGTTCATGGAACTCCTCCACACGCCCTCCACGGTGAGGGACGGAAGGCGCGTCTCGGTCTTGTTCTTGCCGCCCGTGAACACCAGGTTGGGAACTGGGGAGTCGGCGCACTCCCCCACCTCGCCAAGAAACCCCAGGAACGCGTCGTCGTCGAGAGAGGAGGCCAGAGTGGGGCCCAGGTGAGCGCTGTTGGAGACCTGCGGGTATGAAATTGATTGGGACCCATCCATAATTAGAAGCTCTTGTGAATGCAGGAGGTGCAGGAGTAGGCCGGGCCCGCCCGCTCTGAACGCACCCCGTCGACGACGCGGCAGACTGCGCTGAGGAGCAGGATGCAGGCGCCCAGGCTGGGCGCAGTGCGCCTCCGCATCGCGGCCGGTGCAGACCTTGCAAATTGTATCCTGATCATGTTATAGCGCTAGCACCATGGTCGCACTGCCTCTTGTCCCTGAACGGGCCAATGGGTACCCAAGGGGGGGGACCAGGCCGGGACGGCCTCGCTGCGGCCACAGCCAACCGCGTGAAAGCACAGGATGCAATGCTGAACAGCTGACACGCAACAACAATTGCTGTGCGCACAATTTACAGCTGCACTCCGCCGTGAGGCCATACGAATCTGGTTTAGCGGAGGCTGGCGCTTAAACGATCGGCTGCTGTCCTTTCCAGCCCACCCACCATGCTGCCCTTCAAACGTCGGTTCCGGACGAAGGGCACAGCTCGGACCTCGAGGGTATCCCATGGCATGCACTCCCTCCTGGGCTCCAGTCAAGACATCTGGGGTGACTTGTTGTCGATGTTAACAGAACAAGCTGTCGTCAAAGCTCCTGTGGCTGACGCATGAACCCCATGGGTGCCATCGATATGTCGCACGCCGGAGACTGACATGAGGCCGGGGGAGCCTGCATGCCATCGCAAAGAGCTCTTGAGCCGCCTTAAAGGGCGGATCAGGCCTCGTGTGGGGCCTCCCCTGACCCTCGCGGCGGTTTTGGAGGCCGGTCGCCCCGCATGGGACGGCCGCAAGCTCTCGGCCGTGGATTGCGGCATCGGCGCCGTCGGCACAGTCCCGCCCGAGTACATCCATGCAACGGTCTGGTTACTGGGATCATGATTTGGGTCATTGGTTGCACATGCCTATGGGGATTGGCTCCAGGCCGGGTATGGCTGCCACACATCAACCCAGCATGGCCCGAGAGCCGCCTGAAGGCCCCACTCATTTGCACCATTTTGCAGACCCTGTACCTGAGTAAGAACCTGCTGCAGAGCTTGGAAGGCATCCAGGCGTTCCGGGGCCTGCGCGCCCTGTCCCTGGGCGACAATCCGCTGTCGACGCTGGACAGCCTGCGGCCCCTGGCCGCCCTGCCCCACCTCGAGTCCCTGCACCTCGACGGCTGCCCCGTGGCCAGCCTGCCCTACGCACGCGCGCACCTGGTGGCGACCCTGCCATCCACACTGGCCTCGCTCAACGGCGCCGCAGTGACCCCGGTCGAGCGATCTGCAGCGCCCGCGCTGCTTGCCACCGAGGCGCGGCTGCTGGGCCTGGCGCGGCGTGGCGCGCGCGGCGCGCACGCCCTGCGCCGCGTGCTGCTGCTCACCAGGCTTCATGCCGAGCTGCGTGCGGAGCTGGGCGTGCGCTGCGCGGCGGTCGCCAGCGGCACCGCCCGGCCTCCGGACCCGGGCCGCCTGCTGCGCCTGTGGGCCAGCGGCGCCGAGCCGGCGCCCACAGCCCAGGAGAGCGCGGCGCTGGACGCGGCGCTGCGGCGCGAGGCACAGCGCGCGCACCGCGCCGCCGGCGGACGGGACTGCGCGGCCGATTGGCGCGCCGCCTACGCGCGCGTGTTGGCGGCGCAGCAGGCCGCGGCTGCGCAGCTGGCGGAAGGGCTGGAGCGGGAGGCGCATGACGCCGCGGCTCGTGGCGCGACCTCCACCCGCCCGCCCTCCCCGCGCAAGGCGCATGAGCTGGAAAGGGAGGCGGCGGCGGGCGCCGCGCAGCGCTGGGAGCGTGAGGCCCTGGTGCGGGAGCTGCGCGACAGGCTGGGCCGCCCCAGTGGCGTGGAGGGGAGTGGGGGCAGCGGAGCAGTTTCCTCACAAAAGCTTCCCCCGGGTCTGGCGAGGGAGGCCGAAGGGAGAGCGGAGGAAAGCGGGGAGGTCTGGAGCATTGCAGCTGCCCGGCGCAGACCGGGCTGTGATGCCATGGCCCGAGAAGGGCAGGAGTCTCACGGAGCAGCGAGCGGGGACCAGGCCAGGAGCCCTGCGCCGGGAGGCACGGAGGCCTGCCCAGAGCGGTGGATCCAGAATCCGCTGGGCAAGGGGGGCGGGCTCCCCTGCAGCACCGGGTCCAGGAGTGCAGCTGCGCTCGGGCCACGAGATTCCCAGCCTTCCCACACAGCCAACACTGATGCTGCCCGAGAATCTACTGGCCGAGCATGCAGGGAACCATGCCCCCTTCCGCAGCCCTGGAGGAGCACTTACTATGCCATGCAGACCGGGGCCCCTCATGAATGCGACGACCAGGGAACGGAGATGGAGGAGGGGTTTGTCACCATAGCCCTGGCACGGCGCGGTCAGCAGGAGGCGGAGGCACACTCCAGGGAGCTGCTGGGCAGAGTGGCCCTCCTACAGAGCGCACTGAAGCGGGTGCGGTTGGATGGAACGGCGCGTGTTCCCAGCACAGATCGAGGCTTTTTGCTCCTCTGTGCGAACCCCATCCTGCCTGGTCCGGACATGTCCAGAAGCGGCCAGACTCCTCCCATCTTCACTGACATATCCTGCCCACACCCACACAGGCCACGACAGATGCGAGCGTGGCAGAGCGGCTGAGTCTGGATGCCGCGCAGCGACACCGTGCTGAGGTGGCGGTCCTCAAGTCCACCATCCAGGGTCTGCGGCAGGCCCTGGAAACCAGTGCCCCCCCCGTCAGAGTCGTCATACGCGGTGGGTTGGCATGAGCTCAGGCGGCCCCATCATGCAGGCGGGGGTGCATGTTGCTGAGATTGTCAGGTTGCCTGACAATGTATGGCTCTATAACGGCCTCATCGGACAAATTTGGACATGGGGTTGTTCAACAGCTGACCCTGGCGCAGAGCCCTTTCGACCGTCCACTCACCCACCCCCGCCCCATTGCCCGTGCAGTGGATCAGAGCGAGGAGCTGGAGGCGGAGATGGCCGCCTGCCGGGCCCTAAGGGCTCTGTGCGATGACCTGGAGAAGGAGCTGGGGTCCAGGCAGCAGAGCACAGGGCGTGAACTTGCCAGGTAGGGTTGCGTGGCAGAGTGGCTTGCAGCGTCAGTTGCCTGCGGGGGCTGGCTGGACCGTAAGGAGTCATGTTTGGCCAGGGCAGGGTGTGCCAGGTCTTCCTCGACACTCGGTGCTCCACTCCAGCATGATGCCCTCCGTGCCCCCTGCCACCCTTTCTTTGCTCGCAGTGCGGCCCTGGCCCGCCAAGCGCTGGCCCGACGCTGCCTGCTGACCTGGCGCTGGCGGGCTCGGCGGGTCGGCATGCTGCGCCTGCTGGGCTACCAGGCCACGGCACTTGGCGAGCAGCGCCGGCTGGCCGCCTTGCTGGCGGGCTGGAAGGCTGCCGTCCGGCGGGAGGCGGCTTGCCGCCGCCTGCGCTCGGCCCGGGGCGCATGGCTGCTGGCCGCCGCCTGGCGCGCCTGGCGCCTGCGTCAGCGCCAGACCCGCGTGCTCGCCGAGTTGGAGGCTGGCGCGCGGCGCCACGCCGAGGCCGCGCTGGCGCGCCGGGCCGCCAGGGCCTGGCAAGCCCTCTGCATGGACGAGCGCCAGCTGGCGCCGGAAGACCTGCCGCCGGATCTGGCCGCCGAGGTGGCGAGGCGGTCTGTGCGCGCGGTGGCGCGGCATGCGTATCAGCGCTGGCGGCAGGCCGGGGAGGAGGCGCTGGTGCGGTGCGGGGAGGTGTCGGCCATGCGTGCCCTCGCGGCTCAGCGGCGGGTCCTCCATGCATGGCTCCATCGAGTGGCGGCGCGGCGCCACGAGGCCGCGGTCGTCGCACAGATCTGGAGGGCGACACTGACGCGCTTGCTGGGCGGCTGGCGGCAGGCGGCCACCGCTATGTGCAGCCGCCGGCGACTGCTGGAGACCGCGTGCGCCATGCGGCTGGACCGCCGCTCGCGGGCCTGGCTGCGCGCCTGGGCGGCGCTCGCCGGGGCGCGCCGCCGCGAGCGCCTGCTCGCCGGGCTGGTGCGCCGTCGTGTGGCCGTCGGCGCACTGCGGCGGGCGCTGCATGCGTGGCGGGAGCGGGTGCGCTCGCAGCGGCACGCTGCGCATGTCCAGCAGGTCATCTGGGAGAGGAAGGATGCCAGGCGTGTGAGGCTCGCGCTGCTCACCTGGCGTGGCGAGGCCCTCCGCGACGCCGCCACCCGCGCCCGGCTCGAGCTGGAGGGGTCTCGTGCGCAGCTGACGCAGGCGGCGTGGGCGCTGCAGCACAGCAGGATGGAGGGCGGCGAGCTGGCGCGGGAAGTGGCCGAGGCGGGCGCCAGGGAGGAGGCTGCCAGGGCACGGGTGAGCGAGGCCGGCGAGGCCCTGTCCGCCGCGCTGCAGCAGGTCGCCGAGCTGCAGGAGCGGCTGGCTGCGGCAGAGGTCCAGGAGGGCCGGCTCTGGGCGCGAACCCACTCCTTGGAAACTCGACTGGCTTCTGGGCAGGAGGAGGCGTCGGAGCGGGAGCGGAACGGCGAGGAGGAGCGGCGGGGGCTGCTGGCGCGCCTGACCGCCGCCGGCGAGCGGTGCCGGGAGCTGGAGCGGCTGCGGGAGGCGGCGGAGGCCGCCGCCGGCGAGGCGGGGGCGCGCTGCGAGGCGCTGCGGGCTGAGGCGGCCCAGCGGGCGCAGCATGTCGAGGCCCTGCGCGAGGAGTGCGGCCGGCGCGGCGAGGCGGTGCGCAGCCTCTCCGCCCGCGTGGAGGCTCTGGAGGGCGGGGAGCGGGGTGCACGAGCGGCCGGGGCGGCGCTGGAGGTCCAGGTGCCAGGTGGGGGGGGGGTTGAAGGAGAGCCGGCAAGGGAGGAAAGTGAGACGCAGGCCCCCAGACCCGGCACACACCATGGGACTGGTACATGGTGACGTGAGTCAGGAAGGCGGCTCCTGCACCCCATAGCACACCCCTTGCTGCTGGTGCCAGGTGGAGGATCTTAACGCTCAGCTGGCAGCATCGTCGGCGCAGCTGGAGGAGTGCCGCAAAGTGCTGAGGGAGCGTGGGCGCGGGGACCAGGCCACCAGGTGATTCGGGACGCCACGAGAGGCGTGAGGGGTCGGTACGCTAGGCAGGAACCAACTATGCAAAAGAGTGTGGGCCCGGTGTGGTCGAGCAGGGGAGCGTCATCGGCAGCAGGATAGACCAAGACTGACCCCTTCCTTCCCCTCTGGATGAGCAGGGGAGGGAGGCACAGCAAGAGGGAGGCTTGTCCCATGGAAACCAGGGCACAGCCGTCTGCAAGCCCCGGCCGGATGCCCGGTCCCCCACAGGCGTGGAGGGGATCGGGCATGGTGATCACCACGCCTGCCCATGGCCATTTAGAGACCTAGGGTGGTTGACAGCGTGGAGTACTCAATGCTGGCTCCCTGAAGCACCAGCTCTGTGCAGAAGGTTGGATGCCAGTAGCGTGACACCCCCTCGCCCAGCTGTCCACCATCTTCACACTCCTCCCTCCTCCATGGTGCCCCTTCCCTGCACAAAGTGGCGCCTTGCTCAACCCGGGAATCATACATATGGGATGGTGCAGGAGAAAGAGGGCAAGAAAACGCAGTACAATGGCCATCCAGGCGTGCACTGCAATGTGCACAGTAAATTACACAGGCTCAGCCGTCGGCAGAGGGCGCCCGCTGCAGGGGCGACGTCATACAGCATGATCCGGCAGGAAATGTCCCGCTCCAATGACAGCAGTAGCAAAACAAGGAGGCCACGCATCACACGTCTAGAGGGCAAGCTTTGCCTTCTGCGCCTCGCTGGGCAGCTTCACGTTCGTGGCCAGGCCGATGCTCTGCAGGCCACGGATGACGAGCCAGGTAGCATCGATCTGCCACCACTCCAGCCCGTGGCGTGCACTGAACTCGAAGGCGTGGTGATTGCTGCGAGGTGGGTATGGTGTGTTTATGGAGAGGTGACAATGAGCGTGGGGAACCACTTCTCAGAAACAGTGATGGTGGAAAGAAGTGGAACCAGATGTCTCTACTGCTGCAACCCCACCAGCCAAGGTGCCACGTGCAGAAAGAGATATTCCGGATCCTAGTTTCCGCAGCCTATGAAACCATACGCCTGGAGAGAGGCAAGCACTCCCAGCCCCGCGGCAGAACCCACTCCATCCTCTGTCTCACTTGTGCCAGCCTTCTCCAAACGCCAGCAGCCCCACCCACCAGTTATTCCTTGACAGGTCCCCTGTTGATTGTAAAAGAGCAACGTGCGATCAGCAACCCACGTCTTGCAAGGGGCCGAGGTGTGTCGACACGAACAGCCAACATCCTCTTCCTCACCGCCACGACCTTCAACTCCAAGACACACAACTCCCCCAACCATCCCTTCCAACACAGCCGCTGTCCGGCACTCCAGCTCACCAGTCCTGTACGACTGCGAGCCCCACACATGCGCCGCGGAGTTCACGAACCAGGTGATGTGGTAGACCACCACGAGACGCACGGCCCCCACCCACACCAGGGCTGGCAGGCCGCCGAGAGCAAAGAGGGCTGCCAGCTGCGCCGTTGCATGCAGGCCAAAGTGCTTGGCGAGGTGCTGTAAGAGGGTGGGGAAAAGGGAGGAAAGCAGACTGGTATGGTCTTTGAACGCATGCAACTGGCTAGGCTTGTGGGTAAGGTCTGGCACACGCGCCGTTGAATGATTGGAGAACAACCCACACATTCTCCAGGCCCAACCAGCCAAGCGTCATACAGCCTGCGAGCACCTGGTAGAAAGGGTCGTCTGCCATGTCTGCAACATTGGATCGGTCCGCGATCCTGCGCTGCGTGGCCCCATCATCCAGCAACCAGCCCATGTGGCTCCACCAGAAGCCCTCATAGGGGGAATGGGGGTCCAGGGGGGTGTCGCAGTGCAGGTGGTGGTGCCGATGGCAGGACACCTGGCACGGCAGAGGCGGGGTATGGGGGGCCATGGCTGATGTGACTGAACGTGGAGGTGCTGACAGTCGCAAAATCAAGGGTAAACTGCGCTCAGGAGGGCAAATGCCAGCGTGAACGGGAAAGAATTCGCGAAGGCAGCGTGGCTGCGCGGCAAGTGCACCCAACGGAACCCCCAACCCCTGAAGGGCAACGGGCACTATCCGTCCCAGCAGCAGTGCCACCACGCACCCACTCCAGGGGGTCCCCCTGGATGGCCAGGACGCCGCAGTAGGCCAGGGCGTGCTCCAGCCACTTGGGGGTCCTGAAGGAGCGGTGGCTCAGCTGGCGGTGGTAGGAGGTGGTGATGCCCAGCAGGCCAGACACGAGGTACATGAGGAAAGCGCCGCCGGCGAGCTGCGGGGTGAAGGTGGCGGGGGCCAGGCAGGCCAGGCCGTGCATTGCGATCATGAAGACGGCGTAGGTTCGGTCCTTGGACGTCCACTGGCGCTGGCTGAACCACCGGGTCCTGGGCAGCGCCCACACGTCGCTCAGCAGCACCTGCCTGCGGAGGGGGGGAGGGGGTTGGGGAGGGGGCAGCAGTGTGGACCAGGACAGGGGTCAAAGGGGTGGACCTGGTAGCACGCCAAACGGCAGTGTGTTTTGTGGGATCCTGGGTGGTCGACATGGCAAGCTGCTGGCGCGGTGACCTCCCAACGTCCCAGGTGTGGAGGCAGGGCGCAAGCTGTGCTCCCCACTGGAAAGGTTCTTACCTGCTGCCCTGCTCGAGGCCCTGGGCTTCGTTGGAGGGCTTTGGAAGGGTGCGTTTCGTGTTGATCGAGGTCGGGGCCGAGGTGAACACATCGGTGTAGAGCTGATTATAGCTGGGTGGAGGGATATCCTGAGGGCCCGACGGCGCCTCTCGCTCCTGTGGAGCTGCGACCGACCTACAATAGTTTTAAGGGCATGAGGCGTTGATTCAGATCAAAAAAGAGAGCTTTTTGGCACCCGAGCATCGCCTTCAGTACTGCAGTACTGGACCTACCTCACAGTCCACGACCGCTGTCCCGCTCGAGGTGTCCCGCGGCGAGGGCCGTGCCATGCCCGCGACGTGCGTGTACTCAGCCTCGCGGAAGGAGAACAAAAGTGATGGGTGCCTCGCAGGGCGCTCCCATGTGCAGCTAGGCCCGTCATGAATGGACAGGTATTCCAATCTCGTATCTCGACGTGGGTGCGCAATAATGACTCCCACTCAGGCCTTCGCGGGTCTGGCGTGGCCGATGTGCGTGTACAACTCGTACTCACAGGACGAAAAGTATTCCGCTGAATGGGATGCCGCGTGTTGCGCACGCGTGGGCCATCGCCGTACTCCCTCCATATCCAGAATGGGGGGGTCGCTGATGATGATTCGCTCTGAAGGATCACCCCGGGTAACCCTCGGGTGATTTGGTCCCTCATTGCGACGGCCACCTCCGGTGTAGAGAACAAGCGCCCCACAACACCACTCACTACTTTGATCTAGGTTGTAGGATGACAAGGAGTATATACAAAGGCCACAGTGGGATGCCTGCCGACCCAAATCCGGAAAACAGAACAGAAACATTGTTGGGTACAGTAAGGCTCGTGCCACAGGAGCAAGTATTTGTGCAGAGTGCCCTCCAGCACCACAACTGGTGAAACAAGGCGTGGCAATGTGAAAGGCTGTGCCATCAGCTTAAGCATTGGGACAAATGGGTGCTGACTGCACCCAGTCATTTGTAAGTCTGATGAGCTCAAACTCAGGAAGGAGAGCCGAAAGACAAAGGCGTGCAGATTAGCAGCCCCCCTGGAGCGCTAGGGTGCTTACAAGGGACCTAGTCGGTGATGGTGAAAGCGTATGGGTCGTCCTCTTCCATGTCGAGTATCTCGTTGATCTCTGAGCCTGTCAGGGATGGGCCATCCTCTTCCTCTGAGTGCTCCTCAGACCCGACGAGGTGGGAGCTCCTGCTGGCCATCCCAACCTCCTGACTTCGAGCCTCCAGCAGCTCTTCTTCGTCATCCCTGTCTTGTAAAACCACCCTAGACAACTCCTGCAGGAATGGCGAGGACAGGCCGATTTGTTGACGATCCGTTTTCTCGAGATCAGTCGGACAATCCGCATGAGATGGGGCTGATCCCGAAGACATCTAAACTCACTCTGAACATCTCCATTCTGGCCACTGCATCGGTTTTCTCATTGGTCACGGCATACATGTGCGTCCTCGCGGGGGAGAGTATAACGTCGAGGAGCGCCCGGCGCATTTCCTGCCCCTCGTACACCATGGTGTGTTCATTACGTGTTACATGAAGTAGCTGCTGAGATAATATGAACGAGAGGAGCAGGGTGGTGAGAACTTGGGGTGGTCGCAAGGTGAGAGATGCTGCCTCGAGAGCGCGCCCCCGGGAGCACGGCTGGGAGCAAGTGGCAGAAGGAATCTCAAGACCCGCCACGCCCGACAGCACGATGGAAGTATCAAGGGGGGAAGGGTGGGCGGTCGTTTTGTTGACTCTCTGTAAGCAACCGCAGTCATGCAGGCTCACCCTCCTCCTCGCCCGCCTCGTCCACCCAATGCGTGATGCAGGCCAGGAAGTCGGGGAAGGTGATGCGGCCATTGCCGTCCCGGTCCAGCTCCAGGAAGCGCTGCTGTACCAGCGGAACGATGGTGTTGGTAGCAGAGGCATGCGGGCTGTGCGGCATGTTCTCCAGGTGCGGCTCCAGCAGGGCGGACTCGAGCTCATCCTGGCACATGCGGCAGGGGGGAGGCAGGTGAGCAGCGCATGGGTGTAACCCCACCCTGCCAGACGAGCCAGGGCATGATGCGCTTTCCTGGTCCAGTCCTGTGGCTCTGCATCCCTGGCCACTGCTTGCCCTCCCTCATTCCAGCGCACACGTACACCCACCCGGCTGATGAAGCCGTGGCGGCTGCTGTCAAAGGACAGGAAGGCCTGGGTGGCCAGCTCAAAGGCCTTGAGCGTGGCGGCATCCACGTCCTCCTCGTCCCGGGGCCCTTTGAGCAGGTGCAGGATGGCCAGGATCACCACAAATTCGTCCACGTTAATGGTGGAGGAGCGGTCCAGGTCGGCCGACACGAAGGCCGACTCCAGCACGTCGTCATCCACTGCATAACCCAGCTTCCTGGCACCCGCCCGCAGCTGGTCCAGGGAGATCTCGCCCGTGGGCGGGACGTCAAGGGAGCGGAACACCTTGGCCGCCCGGCTGAGGCCGTCGTGCAGACTGTGGAGGGGACATGGAGGGCGGGGGGAGGGACTGAACGATGCGGGAGGAGACATGCGGCACAACCCATGGACATGCGGCAGAGGAGGGGCGTGTCGGAGCATGAGGAAACGAGCTTGAGGTCCATGCTCCACTGGGCTGGAATGACACCAGCCAGGTCGGTGCCCTCCCCCGCCGCACTCACGAAGGTAGTTTGAGCAACAGCTTGTTCAGCTTCATTGGGGTGCCCCTCTCCCCCTGAGCCCATTTCTCCTGCAAGGTTGCAAGTAATGAGGGGGTGGGGCAAATGTAACAGCAGCCTGTGCCATCCACCTGAATAACCTGGAAGAAAGTGCGGGCGTGGGCACCAGCGTTTGGGGCCGGCGGAGGACACCCAGACCCTCGGCTCCTCGTCATTGTGCCCCACCTTGATCGTATCTGACAGTCGAGCATCCAGGTACTCCCTGCACTGGGAGGCAAAGTTGACGGACGGAGAGGATGCCTCGGGCCCCAAGCTCGTTGCCGTGGATGTCGAGTTCCCCATAGGACCACAGTATCCCCTTGCGGGACCAGGCTTGCCGGAGCTGGGACCAGGCCACCTCGGAACAGTGTGTGAGCAGCTGGGTTTGCCAACGCCTCCTCACCAGAGGGGATCAGGGCCGTTGGGTGGGAGGGCAGGAGACCATGCATTCCGGGCAGGGCCAGTGAAGCATGATGCTTCGCATGCTGCACCCATATATCTGCGGTGATCCCCGCCCAGCATCCACCGCTACTTCCCTGCCCTGTCAGGGCGATGAGGTCGCCGCCGGAATATTGAGTTTGAAGCGACTGACACGCAGACTCTTGCAGACTGTGGAGTCGTCCAGCCGAGTGCACCTGCGCAGACCCGCTTGGCCGCGCCTGGATGTTGGGTCAGGCTTCCTGTGGAGTGCATGCACACCTTCAACCATATCTAGTCTCGACAGCGTTCAGGTCGAACGCTCGGGCTCCCAAACTGCGCCGGACGCTGTGCAGAGGGCTGGTGTCGGCCCCTCGAGCAGAGCTTGGAGAAGGAGCGACGGTGAAGGTCACTGCTCCCATCACGGTATTCCATTCCCCAAAGTATAAGGACGGCCTGCTGGTGCAAGACTACACGGGCACCATCGTTGCCGACGTGTCTCAATTCCAGGGCAAAACCTTGAGTGCCAACAAGCCCTGGAAGGTGTCTTTAGACGCCAAGGACCCCGAGGGCAAGCCGCTGAAGCTCATCATCCATCTTGTGAGTGAGGGAGGGGGATGAGGGAGATCCACGTAACAGATCCCATGTTCGCCCCAGCTGTACCTAATTTACCAGTCTTCTTTCCAAATGACAGGATTCCGGGGAGCTGGAGGAGGTCAAGGAGGCCTGACGAGAAGCACCTGGTTCCTTAGTGCACCAAGTTTTCCACCTTTGTTGTCACCTGCTGCTCTGTGTGCTTCCAACCAATTTTCTGAGAGCCACATGGCGTGTGAAGAATAAAAAGTGCTGTCTCTGTACCGACGCACTTCCGCTTCGATTGGAGATTCAATACAGGGCATTCAGCGTACACACATTACCTCAGCAGGAGAAGCAGCAGTCACGTGGGCACGTGCAGGCCCAACAACAACCCGATGCACAATGCAGACTCTTTTACACTCCAGGAACCCGTTGTCCATATCAAACTGCATCCTTGTGCTTGCAGTCGTACAGGCATGGCTGCGCAGCTGAACCTGTCCTCCACGCGCTGCCCAGTTATGGGCACGGCACCGAGGCGGTCGTCGGTGTCCCCGTCCCGGGCTCAATCCCGTCGGAGCCTGAGCGTGCGCGCAGCCAAGACGGAGAATGGTCCCACCATTGCTATCGCAGGCGTCACCGGGGCTGTCGGCCAGGAATTCCTCCGGGTACGACGGGCCTGATGCTCAATGGGGAGGGGGGCCGGGGCTCCCATCGCGCCGCTGCTCACCGCGCCCCGTGCCGCTCCCGCAGGTCATCACAGAGCGCAAGTTCCCCTACAGCAACATCAAGATGCTTGCATCTGCCAGGTGCGGGATTGGATCGGCGACCGATTGATGCCGTTGGGTGGGCAGGCAGGAGTGCAGCCATGTCTTGTGTACACCTGGCCTTGGACTAGGCTGAAGTTCCTGCGCTGGTACTCATCCACAGGTCGGCAGGGCGGCAATACGAGTTCGAGGGGGAGACCTACACCGTTGAGGAACTGACAGAAGACAGGTGGGTCGATGGGTGAACAGCAGGCCGTTGAGCCAGTGGTCTGCAGCGCACGCTGCACTCAAAAGGGGCACGTCCTTATTCGAGCTAGTGCAGCCTGGGGGGTCCTGGTACCTGGCCTCCTAGTGATGACTGTACAGGAGGGGCACTGCACCCCGCAGCTGCAGGTCCAATAGGAGTTCGTACGGCAATCGCCTCACCCACTCATCGCCCCTCCCAAATTCCAGCTTCAAGGGCGTGGACATCGCCCTCTTCTCCGCCGGCGGCTCCATCAGCAAGAAGTACGCCGCCGTGGCCTCCGCCGCCGGCGCGACAGTGGTGGACAACTCCAGCGCCTTCCGCATGACGGAGGGCGTCCCGCTGGTCATCCCCGAGGTCAACCCGGAGGCCATGGCCGGCTACCGCGCGGGCGGCGGCGGCATCATTGCCAACCCCAACTGCTCCACCATCATCGCCCTGGTGGCGGTGGCCCCCCTGCACCGGCTGGCCGGGGTCAAGCGCATGGTGGTGTCCACCTACCAGGCGGCCAGCGGCGCGGGTCAGGCCGCCATGGAGGAGCTGGAGCTGCAGACGCGGGAGGTGCTGGACGGCAAGCCTGTCACCCAGAACATCTTCCCCTTCCAGTATGCCTTCAATGTCTTCTCCCACAACTCCCCTATGACCGACAACGGCTACAACGAGGAGGAGATGAAGATGGTGAGCGGTGGGGTGGGATTCTGGGGGTTGAGGGGTGGGGTGGAAGGGGGTTGAGATCACCGGGAATGCAGGCATGATCTATGACACGGAGCTCCTCTCCAGGGTCATCTGCCTGGGGATGACTGCAGCAGGTCTGCCAGTTCTCTATTCCCTTGTGCACACTCTCCCCCCCCCAAATCAATCAACGACCACATAGGTCAAGGAGACGCACAAGATCCTGGGGACGTCGGACATCCGCGTGACCGCCACGTGCATCCGCGTGCCCGTCATGCGCGCGCATGCGGAGTCCATCAACCTGGAGTTCGAGCGGGACATCAGCGAGGAGGAGGCGCTGCGCGCGCTGGCGGCGGCGCCGGGCATCCAGGTGGCGGACGACCGTGCGGCCAACTGGTTCCCCACCCCGCTCAGCGTCTCCCACCTGGACGACGTGTTTGTGGGGCGGGTGCGGCGCGACTACAGCCGGGACGACGCGCGGGGCCTGAACCTGTGGGTGTGCGGTGACCAGGTGAAGAAGGGTGCGGCCCTGAACGCCATCCAGATCGCGGAGCTGCTGCTGTGACGAGCGTGTGGATAGAGATGCTGCAGGGAATGTGAGGGGTTTGCAGAGGGCTGAAGCGGGGTCTGGGGCAGGGGCAGGGGGGTGGTGGATAACAAGTGTGTTTCACACAGAGTGTCGGAGCCCTCCTTTCCACCGCGCGACCCCCTCATGGAAATGATTGGATCCATCCGCCCTCTTTATCCAGCGATGGAGAGGTCCGGATTCTCGAAAGATCACGTACAGTAGACGCATGCCACATCGATAGTCAGTCTTTTGTGTCGTGTTGTGAGTGTGTGAGTACAGAGCTCCACCCGTGCGAGTGTTGTTACCAGCCATGGCCGGGGCGGGTGCAACGGGCCGGTCGGAGTCCGCGCCCACAGCCCTCACCGCCGTCTCATTCGCGTGCCTCTGCTATGCGGCCTCCAGGTGGGTGGAATGCTGGGGCGGTGCGATGATTCCACTGCGTGGGCCGGGCCACGGATGCGCCCGTCTTCGCGCACCACCGACGGTACCCTCTCTTGGCTTCCGCCCGCAGGCTCCTCGACTACCTTGGCTTGCATGCCCCGACACCCCTGGAGTCGTATCCGGTAGGTTTCAGAGCTTTGGGGTGGCTCGGATGAGGACAGGTAGAATTGCATGTGGTGGTGCATGCCTGTCCACTTGTCGCCTGTGCCCCAGGTGCCACCATCGCTCAAACATCCCCCACAAACCACCACTCCCCACCCCTCAGGTGGTCAGCGGATGCTGCCAGGTGGCCGTCACCGGCGTGGCCATAGCAGGCGTGGCATCAGCCCTGGGCCGCGACCTGGCCAAGCCACTGGCCGCCGGCCCTACGGCGCTGCACCAGATGCTTGCGGCTGCGCTGTCTGGATCCCTGGGCCCTGTAGTAGCTGCGGCCGAGCCCTCCCACGCGTGCCCGACCCTCGACAGCGCGCTGCCTCGCGTCGCCGCGCCACGCCGTGTGCATGCGCTCCCACCGGCAGCGCACGCGACAGGGCCCCCCCGCGCCTGCCAGCCACGTGGTGAGGTGGCAAGTTCCGCTCCCGCCGCGGCTGCAGAGTCAGCAGCGCCCGCTGACCAGCGGTCGGCACTCACCCTGCCCCCGCTGGCCAGCCTGAGCCTGGGCGAGGCGGCGGGGAGCTGGACCTCCGGCGCACTGTCGGCCCTGCTCAACCCGTTGCTGGCGGTGTGCGACAGCCCCCCCATCGAGGCCATGCGCCGCGCCATGTCCTCTCCTGGTGCGCCGCGCGCGACGCAAGGCGCCGCGCCCCGGCGCCGGCGCGCGGAGGGGGACGCTGCGCGGGACAGCAGCGCTGCCGCCGCCACCCCACAGGCGGGCGTTGGTGCGCGATTCGTCACCGCGCCGCCGGAGCGGCTGGCCGCGCTGCGCGTGCTGGCGGCCCGTTCCGCCGCGCTGGACCCCGCTCGCGCCGCCTCCGCCCTGGGTTCGCTGGGCCTGGACGACGGCGCGGCGCGCGCCGTTCGCGCTGCGGTGACGGACGAGCACCTGCTCCAGTTTGGCGCCCTGCTCGGCGAGGGCGGGTGCGAGGATGCGCTGCGCGCGCTGGGCGCACGCGAGGCGTGGGGCGGCGGCGACGCGCTGCTGGGTGCCGCCGACGCCGGGGCGGCAACCGGTGACTGGGAGCGCATTGTGGCCGAGAGGCGCGACGGCATCGCCTACGAGGCCTGGCGCCGGCCGCTGCGCCGCGGCCTTTACCTCTACCGCACGCGCGCGGTGCTGGAGGGCGTGCGCCCCGCCGACGTCCGCGCCTTCCACCTGGACGATGCCGCGCGCGCGCGTTGGGACGAAGCTGCCACCCTCGTGGCGCGCGTCGCGCCGGAGGAGGCGGCGCCCGAGGCCCCGGAGTCCTGCCTGCAGAAGTATCGCTCGCGCTTCCCCCGGCCCATGGTGGGGATTGCAGAGGGAGGGTGTTGTGGCAGGAAAGGATCATGGAGGATTGCAGTGATCATGCTCGTGCCTGGGTCGCACCAGCCAGTGGATCCCCCCCGTTGCCTCAATCCAATGTGCCTGCCTCCGCCAATCCCTTGCAGGCCTCCCGCGAGTACCACTACGCGCGCCGCGTCTGGGACAGGCCGGCCGACGGCGGCTGCTATGCGCTGTGCCGCGACGTGGAGTTGCCAGGAGGTGAGGAGAGCGGGGTGGATGCGGGTGCACAGCCTCGCTCTGAGTGTGTCTGTGGGGCGCCAGAGTGTCGGCAGGGGAAGGGCGGGTCGAGGCGGGCGTTGCAGCGAGTGCTTTGCGGCGTGTGCCCCTTTCAACAGCCCTCCGCTCCTTTCGGTCACCCTCTCACAACCCCACCTGCAGCCGAGGGTGCGGTCAAGGGTGCGGTGCGCGTGCGGGAATACGTCTCATGCATCGCCATCAAGGCGCATGAGGTCGGCACCGAGCTCCTCACCTGCTACTTTGAGGACTCCCAGGTCCGGCCCTCCATCGTGAAGATGGTGGTGCCCAAGAGCCTGTGGTCGCTGGTCCAGAAGTACGAAAGCGCCCTGAGGTGGGTGCGGAGGGGGACTGTGCGTTGGTTTCGAGCGAGGACAGGGGGATGATGGGAAATTGAATGGCGCACCCAGGCATCATGGGAATCTCGATGGGGCACAGGCTGATGGACAACGGGATGGTGCCTCAAACTCCTGATGCCAGGCCTGGTCAGGGTCGGAGCAGCCTCTCCTGGTCGTGTTCCTGCTCATATCTCTCGTGCATCTGCCCAACCTGCGCAGGGACCATGCTCGCCCAAAGCAGGCGGCGAGCTCGCCTGCGTCAGGCCTCGAGGCCGGCGGCCCCGTCCTGCTGATCAGTTCCGCACGCGGCAGCGCCCGCGATGGCGCCGCTGCCAGTACCACCCCCCCACCGTCTGACCGGTCACGCTCCCTCCCGTGCGCCGGTTCCAGCGTCGCCTCCCGCCCGCTCGAGTGCTTTGAGCTGGACGCGCACCTGCCGCGCTTCCCACCCGGCGCCCTGCTCGACGCGCGGCGGCCGGCGCTGCGCCGCCCGGCGTGCGACCCGGCGGGGACCCTGCCCGGGTTCGGGCGCACAGGTCCCGCGGGCGCTCGCGCTGGGATGGGGCGGGATGGCCTGCCACGCGGTCGGCGGCCGCACGCCCGGCAGACGACCTGGGTCAAGCGCATCGTCATCGCGGCGGGGATCAGCGTCCTGCACGCCGCGCTGCCTGGGCGGGGACTCTGAGTCGGCTGCGAGGGGGTGTGAGCGTGTGAGTCGGGGCCCGAATATTCAGGCGTGGGCGCCCCCGCACCCTCTTTCATCGGGCACATTGCAGATGCGGTGGTGGCAGCGTGCCCACCCCGCATCGACTGCCCTTCATCCAAGCCTTCTCCCATCAACCTGTGCCTGCTGATATGCAGCCTCCTGCTGCCGCTTCTACAACTGACATCCTCCCAACAGGGACAAGGGCGGCCGCTCTCCCCTCCGGACGCCACTGCCCTCCCATTGTACGTGACACCCCTGAGCGCTACCAATGCCATACCAAGAGTATTCTTCTCCTTGCGCTTGCTCCCCCGAGTTCCTCCTCGACCTGTGTGCTGCCATTCTCTGTCGATTACCCTGCCATTCGCTTGATGCTGGACTGTAAGCCGTCCAATGCAAACAGCATGCCTCCAGGTGCTTGGCAAGACCGCAGGGGCCACCAATGAGCAGTCAGGAGGCCGTTTAAAAAACACTTTGTGCCTAGGAAAGTAATGACAATGCACGCACGCTCATGGAAACATGTTTAAAATGGAAAGGGGTCCAGCCACCCCACAGTTGTTTGCTGGCAGCCACTGACATGATGCTGTTCCACAGCTTGCAAAGTTATCGCCGCTACACTCTTCTGGGCTCCAGGAAGCATCGCTGGATGCCGGCAGGCTTCTGAGCCGTATCATAGGACCGCTGTCACTTCTTGTCAGGCGCCTCCTGCGCGTCGAATTGCTCATCTGGCGCCTCATCATCCGCTTCAATCGACCTGCACAACATCAATCCGAGCTGAAGGCCTCCAAGGTCTGGAGCTGGTGCGCCTGGCATGGCCTCTGCTCCGACAAAGCAAACCGCGGCATGCAATGGAGAAAGTACTGAATTCCTCCCACCACGCCAGCACAAGCATCCACGCACATATCATACTCAGCGTCAAGGTACACTGGGCGGTCCAGGGGAACCGACTGTCTAGGCTCAAAGTCCTCGGCAGTAATGCGCTCCTCACTCCTCCTGGAGTCAGGGTTTGGCACCCAAGAGTCTATGAAAGGATTTTGCGGCCTGCAAGACATTGGATTGCAGCTACATGCCTCTCGTCCTGGAAACCCCCGCAAAATTCAACACATCAAACAGGGCCGCACACTGACATGTCCAGCTCAGCATCTAGGTCCACGTTCTCAAGGGGAGGGGGTGGCGCAAACATATCGCCAATGGCATCCAGGTCATCCCTGAAGAAGTGGCTCGAGGAGGAGTGTAATGGCGCACTGCTTCACCTGCTCCCTGGTATTCTGCACCATTGAGCTCTTTTTACTTGCTGCCCTAAACATTCATGGTCAACCATTTGTACCTGTCGTACTCTGTCTCAAGCTCCACTGGCCGATCCAGGGGCTCGTTGTGCAGAGGCTCAAAGTCCTCGGCGGTGATGCTAGCCTCACTCCTCCTGAGCTTGGAAGGCTGGGATTTGAGTGCGAAGCAGCCAGCCAGCAGGTGGCGTTGCACCAACATCATGCACTACAGACTGGACAAGATGACTCCCAGTCACAAGGATGGACACCTACGCCTCATAGGACGTACATGTCCATCGCAGCATCCAGATCCACAGGCTGGAGGGGTTCGGGCGCGGCATACATATCTGCAATGGCTTTGGGATCATCCCTGCAAGATGGAGCCAATGCCAGTAATCATGTCAGAATCACAAACATTGACCGCAGCAAATGGCCATTTAGCACAACACAATGGATGTTCTATGTCGTGTTTGGATTAGAATATCGAGATAAAAAACAATTTCCAGCAAATGCAGTATGCGTACCTATCGTATTCCACATCCAGCTCCACAAAATCGTCCTCGCTGACAACCCTAGCACGGGCATGGACGACGTTGTAGTGCAAGGGGCATCGACCATGGCCACTGGGGTGTCGCAACAGGTTACAGTCCCTCGAGATGAAACGAGACCTTCAACTTCATATGCCATCACCGAGATTATGAATCTCACACCTCACCTGGTGGTCTCGTCGACAATGTCTGTGAGACCGGGTGTGACAACCTGCATGACGCCGGAGAGATAGAAGCAGCTTTGAACGCTGATCACATTCATATGGAAGCGCAATACCATCATATTGAGACTCATTACCTTTTCAGGCGCTTTGCGCATGGCCTGCGCAGAGTACGCCATGCAACGCGCATTGCTACTCAGGCCAATACGAACGAATCTCTGCAACATGATCACCGGGCCCGTTACTGATTGTCGCGATCGCGTCACCGGTTGCAAGACGTCCAGATTATATCGTAGTACTGGTAGCTACAGGTTGAATGGCGTTGAGGATAGATGGTGCTTCTCAGTTGGCTGATGAGCTCTCTCATTAATATTTCCGAAAGGTAAAGGTACGTGCCTTGCACAAGCTTCTCACGCGCAGCAGGGGGGGGGTGGGGGTTGGAAACTGTGGTTGCGCATTGGCAATCTGCACGATCTACTACTTACCATACCAATCGCGATATGGGTGTAAAACTCATACTGGACATGAGTATACGACTAGGTATCCTGCATCTGTAAAGTAGTTGTATCAATCTTGTCTGGTCGCTGGATGTGGGCCAAGGCAGTCGAGCTTGCGCGAAGAGGAGGAGGATATGGCCTCGTCGGCGTAACGATGTATTACGCATGGGATGCCTTGGGAGATGCGGCAATATATCTGACGACTAAACGGTGGGTATGATATGGAGATAGTGGGATTGCTGGTGTCTAAGGCTGTAACCTGGACATGCCTCAAGAACCTGACAATCAGTGTTACAGATAGTCGTGAGAACCCTCTAATTGACTCCACTATATCACCATCAGGCATGTCATGGACGCCGCACAGTCCCACAATCGCCTCCTCTCGAAGCTCGGGACACCTGTGAATGCCGGGCCGTGGTATGACAGTTCCGTCGTCATTGGCCGAGGCGGACACACTGCATCAGTGACGCTCCCCCTCAAGGGACCTGAGAGGGGCTCAGACGTGACTGTCAAGGTGCGTCAGCTAGTGTAGGGGTGTAGGCATATGCACGGTGTATAATACTCATGTTGTGTGCGGTTTGACATGCTGGCAATCGCCATGTGGGGCTCAGTCTGGCTTTCTACCCTTTTCCTTACCATCGAGTCCGCCCCACACCTCGTAGCTGGTCCGTGCCGGGGGATTCGCTTCCTCTACGCTCTTCTCCCTGCTACAAGGGGATCAGTGGGAGGTGATGCTCATGGATGCGGCCGTGGGGATGGGCCCTGGTGGCCGCCCCGTCCTCATGAGCCTGCTGGAGGCGGAGGAGCCACAGCTGAAGGCCAGTGACGCACATGGCAACGCAGCCCTGGCGCGCAGGGCAGCTACTGTTGAACGAAAGCAATGATGTGCATGGGCTGAATCGGGCTGACAAGACCAGCTAGGAGCCTCTTACACCGCATTCGATGTATCTTGCTAGGCAATCAATACCTCTCTTACACCCAGACCAGTACTATTTCCTGTCATTACCTCGTTTACATCGCCAGGGCTTTGTGCAGACGAGAACGCGCGCGCTCTGGATACCCAGCGATCCGAAATCGACAGCGACAGGTCCGGCTGCCGGCTGAATGACGTCGTGATGCGACCCAGAGCAGGCACAGATATGACCAACCATGGCGTCGACGAGTGGGTGAGTGCTTTCGAGTCTGCGGGCTGCACTGCTCTTCGCCGAGCCGCAGGCCGTGCAGCCCTACCTCACCTCTCCCATCTTCCGCCCTTCGCGCAGTGCCCGGCTGCGGAGTCGACTCTCTCTGAAGAAATCTCGGCCTGATGTATGTCCTCCGTTTCTACATCCCCGCGAAGCGGGCGCGGTGTTGGCCGATCAGGCATCCAGTGCCCCCCTTCACATGCCCACCACAGCTGCCGCCACACAATATATGCCTAATCCGGCCCCCCCGCCCTCTTTTCCAACGGTCACCGGTGTCCTCACGGATGTTATGGATCTCAATGATCCACCCTGCTTCGATCTCCTGGGGGACGAGTCGGATGGGTGGCATGATTCCCCCCTGGAGAAGCCGGCTGTAGACGACAGGCCGCCTGCGGAGGCTCGTCGCGCTGCTGCCCAGCCCCGTGCCGTGCTGCCCAGCCTCCCCCGGAAACACTTCCAGCCCCGCGCCTTCTCCAGACCACGCGTGACTGCCCTGCAACCGGTGAGGCAGGGGGAGGGGCGTTGTTGCCAGGCGAGGCTAGGAAGAATGGATGGGTAGCTCACTTGAGGGAAATGCAGGCTGAGGATTATTCTACATGTCCTATTGAGAGCTTACTTCCTGATACCTCCTGGCCAGATAACCAATACACAGCCAGAGGCTGGCCGGCCATACAAGCCACCAACTGCACTCGCAGCTGCAAAAGTGCGGAATGCACTGGCTGGAACGCTGTCGACTCCGCTGGGCTGCGACAGTCGAGAGCACCATGGCACCCCAATCCACAGCTCTCCCTACTTTGACGACGGCGCACATCCGCAGGGCTGGTCGCCCCAGGAGACTCTGTGTGAGCGAGGGGACTCAGGGCATGCTTGGCGGCAAGGCCCCGGCGAATCGAGGCTGGGTCACCGGTCGGGCTCAAGTCCCACGGCTGCCTGCCCCTCGCCGCAAGATCCCTTCTGGTCGTGTGCTGGCGATGGGCCGGGTGCAGAAGCTGCAGCCGGGCCCCAGCTTGCCTGGGAGGCTGAGGACGAAGAGCTGGGCCACCCCTGCCACGGCCAAGCCGTCGTGGCCAGCAGCCCAGACAGGGCGCATGCACCCCCACCCCCCCCTCTCTCTTGTGGCCAGTTCGAAGCGGCAGATTGGCTGCCTGGCAGCTGCCGACCCTGGTGGCAGCGATTCCTCGATTTCGTGCCGGTGGAAGCCCTGAGGGGTGGCACCGATCCAAGGTGTGCTGGGTGGGTCACTGTCCTCTCCTCCTACCCAGAGACTGGTCTGGACGAGGAGAGGAGTTTGACAGAAGCATGCAGCCACATGGCTGAGCAGGCCTGCATGCCCTGGCAGCTCGGTGCCATGTCCCTTGCGCACACTGCTTTCATCTCACCACTCCCTGTCAGGGATGGCAGCACCGTGCACATCAACTACCGTGCTCAGTTTGTTGCCAAGGCCGCGACGGCGAGCACCCCTGCTGGCAGCGGGCAGAGATCTGGAGGGAAGAAGGCGCACATGAGCACAGTGGAGCGATGGTCCGGGGTGAGGCTAGCGGAATGGATGTGGGAAGGGGTCATGGGTTGCCTTCGAATTGGGAGTGCATGGTGCAGCATGGTGCAGCCTCACGAGGAGGTCCCCCGGGATGCACACACACAAATGTCTGAATCCCATTGCAGGCGCCAACCGGAGGCGTGAGGAAGAAATCGGCACGAGGAGGCAGAGGGCGCAAGCGGGGATTTGGCGGCAGGAGAGGCTCAGGGCGTGGGAAGGGGCCTCGAGGCAGGGCCTCATGAGCAGCGGGCAGCTCGCCAGGCCAGCTACCAGATCAATCACCGGCCCGCAAGGCGATTCCCGGGGGGGCGGCCAGGCTGTGTTTCAGCAGGTTCCCTCCCGACAGGCTGTGTGCGGCGTCTGTCCTTCATGATGTACACTGGGGAGTGATGCGCAGGACGGAAAACAGTACAGCAGCAGGGCGTCTCTGCAGCTCGGTAAAACAGTGTGCTGGCCCATCAGCTCTGGCGGTGCGCCTTGCTCGCCCTTCCCCGGGAGTGGCCGCCGTCCTCCCTGGCCTCCACATCTTCGCCTGCCTCAGGGTCCCGTGGGTAGACGATGACTCGGCAGAGGCTGGGGTGGACCTCCACAAAGGTCAGCCTGTGCGCCATTTCCTCCCCATCTACCACGATCCACGTATCTGCGCAAGTCGGTGGGGAAGGTGCTTCTGGAGATGATCGTTGGAAGCACGACGCCGGAGTGGCGCGCTACGGGTCTACCGCTGGCCCGACCCCTTCTTGCACCGCACCTGACTGGCATGCAAACAATTCAGATGGACCACACAGCCCCCTCAGCAAGCAGTGCTCGAGACCGAGGCTGGGCTCTCGCCCTCGTCCCAGACCGAGTGCATGCCTCCGCATCTGCAGCGCAGGGCACAATTCCCCCGTTCCTCCCAGCTGTACTCACCGGACGCCCGCGGCTCCAGCACAAACGCGATGGGCCGCTCGAGGGCGAGGCGACCCATGTGCTGCCCGCTGTCCATCGCCGACATGAAGCGGAGGCCGTTGAGCCTGCCCATCCTCCCCAGCGTGTACAGCAGCGTGAGGTGCCCTGCCGATGGGGGGACACTTGGGATGATAAATCCGGAAAAGCTCTTGTCCAGTGGCATGCCAGCCATACACATTCAGGGCCCGTCAAGGTGCGGACCCAACACCGACGCCTCGCCCCAGCTCGTGACCCACCGTCGTGCAGGAGCGTGCCCGGCGCGACGTGAAAATTGGTGTCCAGCCAGGGAATGTTGCAGGCCGCGAAGAACTGGACCTCCCCCGCCAGCAGGGGCTGCCAGGGGGCCGGCAGGTCCAGGGAGGCAATGCCACTGGAGCCTGCGTGCAGAAGGTTGATGGCGTGGGGAGTGTGGGGTTTGCAGGAGGCACTCAGTGTCAGATCTGAGGCGCAGGCCTGAGGGTGCAGCATCCACGACACCGCACGCTTGACAATGAAGCCTCGACAGCATGCCCCCGAGGCCTCCTGCGCCCATTCCCATCCTGGGCTCCTGTACTCCAAACAGGCGCGCCACGCACCGTCCGGCAGGCTCTGGAAGGCGCCGATGTGCCGCATTGGGGGGCCCGCGCCGTTTGTCCCCTCCTCCACGTGCCCTGCCCCCTGGACCACGCCGTGCCGCACATCCACAAAGGAGACTCGCGCGGGGTAGGCGCCCTGCTTCATGATCTGGTGGATGGCGCCCAGCACAAAGCGCGGGCTGCCCATCCAGCGTAAGTGGTCCGTGCCGATGTCCAGGTTGGGGATCATGCCGTAGGTCAGGGAGAGGAAGGAGAAGACGCGGCGTGCAGGGGGCTGCAGCACCGAAGACACGTCCATGGGCGACGTGCATCCCTTCACCAGCGCGTGCACCGCAGTCGTCACGTCCCACAGGCCTGCGCATGGGTGGGGTGCGGAGGGTGGGGTCGAAGATGATACAGATGGTGAGAGGCAGGCTCGTGCAGCTGGGCCAGTGCTGCCGCTCCGATGTGCATGCGTCCCTCCGCAGGATGAAGGCCCTGCGCAATTGGCAGCGGGGCTTGGAAGTGCGCCCAGCCTCGCCGCTGCTGCCCCGCCGGCCGCATCCTGCCGCCTGCTCCTCCCGACCCCGCAGCCTGCAGAAGGCGCCTCACAGGTGCCAGGCGCACACGCACCTGTGGAGGCGGCCAGGCCGTTGCCGGAGCCAGCGGGGATCTGGACCAGGGGCAGCTGCCGCGCGGCTTCCCAGTCAGGCCGGTTCAGCATGCCCTGCAGCACCTCGAACACTGTGCCGTCACCACCTGAGCGGGCAGGAGTGGAGGCTTGGGGGCTTGGCATGATCCTTGAGAGCTAGGACAGGGTGTCAGCATCCGCGGAGGAGTGTCCAGCGGATCGAGATGCAGCGATGGATCCAAGCTCCTGTGTTCAAAGCCCACCTGCGAGGCCTGGCAGGCCACAGGACCTCCTGCATGCTGCCTTTAAATCGATACAGGCTTTGAGCACCAGCGCCCCACCCTCGTGCCAACCCCAGCCAGCGCACCAACAACAGCGATGGCGTCAATCTGGTCGGGCCGCTGCCCCGTGACCAGCTCGGTGGCGTGGCCCTTGGAATTCGTGCACACCACGCGGGCCTGGATCCCGGCAGCCTCCAGTAGGGGCTGGACCTCCTTGTTGAAGAGGGCCTGGCCCCTGCATTGTTGTTGCGGGCAAGGATCCAGTAACGGAGTGCAAAAAAGGTTGCAAACACCTTTTTCAAAGCAGCAGGGGTGGCAGGCCACCGCACCTCCAGCAGGGCCACCCGGGCCACAGCGGGCCCAGCGTCACAGGCCGCCCGGCATCCAACGAACCCCCCCAGGTTGGGGATCATGCCGTAGGTCAGGGAGAGGAAGGAGAAGACGCGGCGTGCAGGGGGCTGCAGCACCGAAGACACGTCCATGGGCGACGTGCATCCCTTCACCAGCGCGTGCACCGCAGTCGTCACGTCCCACAGGCCTGCGCATGGGTGGGGTGCGGAGGGTGGGGTCGAAGATGATACAGATGGTGAGAGGCAGGCTCGTGCAGCTGGGCCAGTGCTGCCGCTCCGATGTGCATGCGTCCCTCCGCAGGATGAAGGCCCTGCGCAATTGGCAGCGGGGCTTGGAAGTGCGCCCAGCCTCGCCGCTGCTGCCCCGCCGGCCGCATCCTGCCGCCTGCTCCTCCCGACCCCGCAGCCTGCAGAAGGCGCCTCACAGGTGCCAGGCGCACACGCACCTGTGGAGGCGGCCAGGCCGTTGCCGGAGCCAGCGGGGATCTGGACCAGGGGCAGCTGCCGCGCGGCTTCCCCGTCAGGCCGGTTCAGCATGCCCTGCAGCACCTCGAACACTGTGCCGTCACCACCTGAGCGGGCAGGAGTGGAGGCTTGGGGGCTTGGCATGATCCTTGAGAGCTAGGACAGGGTGTCAGCATCCGCGGAGGAGTGTCCAGCGGATCGAGATGCAGCGATGGATCCAAGCTCCTGTGTTCAAAGCCCACCTGCGAGGCCTGGCAGGCCACAGGACCTCCTGCATGCTGCCTTTAAATCGATACAGGCTTTGAGCACCAGCGCCCCACCCTCGTGCCAACCCCAGCCAGCGCACCGACAACAGCGATGGCGTCAATCTGGTCGGGCCGCTGCCCCGTGACCAGCTCGGTGGCGTGGCCCTTGGAAGTCGTGCACACCACGCGGGCCTGGATCCCGGCAGCCTCCAGTAGGGGCTGGACCTCCTTGTTGAAGAGGGCCTGGCCCCTGCATTGTTGTTGCGGGCAAGGATCCAGTAACGGAGTGCAAAAAAGGTTGCAAACACCTTTTTCAAAGCAGCAGGGGTGGCAGGCCACCGCACCTCCAGCAGGGCCACCCGGGCCACAGCGGGCCCAGCGTCACAGGCCGCCCGGCATCCAAGAACCCCCCCCCCCCCGCCTCCTTCCATCTCATTGTCTCCTCACACGAGGATTCTCCTCCTTCTGTCCCCCCCCTGGGAGTGGGTAACAGCCCAACCAGGTCTTCGCCTCCCACAAAGCCCACCTGCCGCGCCCGCTGACGGGGTTGATGACGACCAGCAGCCGCCTGGGGGCGGCTGCAGACACAGCGGCCCGGATGGCGAGGGCCGCATCCACGCACCCCTGCTCATCTTGCAGTGTGAGGGCGAGCCTGCGCCGCCTGCGCCTCGCCTGGCTGCCGGACCGCTTCGGCGGTGGGAGTGTGTGCCAGATGGTCAGTGTCCTGCCCTCTGCGCTGGCCCCGATCGCGTCCAGGCCGCGGATCTGCGCGGAGCCAGGCATCATGGGTGTCGCTAGGGTCGACCGGGGCCGCCGTCTGAAGATCAGGCCGTGGGGCCATCCAGGTTGGGCCCCGCGACGCATGCATCCGGGGTGCAATCCACGCCAGCACCCCAACCTCGCCCCCCCAGGCACCAGCCACCGCACACCTGGCCAGGAGGGGCCCGGATGAAGGGCAGGCAGTACCGGGGGCAGGGCTGCGGGGAGGCCTGCTTGGGGAAGGAGCGCAGGTGAGGGTCTCCCGTGCCGTGGGAAGCCCTGGCCCTGGGCCCATGCCCGTGCCCTCTCCTCCTGGCCGCCCGGTCTACCTTGCTGATGATCTCGATGTCGCCCTGGGCCGTCAGCCGGAGCTGGACGGGTGTGAACCTGCCGTACCGACCCTCCCAGGGGCCGGAGTGGGATTGGCTCGCGACCCCGCCCTGCCTCAGCAGCTGCTCCTCCACGGACATGGCTTCCACCATGCAGCGCGTCTCGCGTCGATCAGATCATGGTGTGACCCTGGTGGTGGTACTGGGGGCCGGCGTGGAAGGCAGAGCCTGGCTATGTCGCGAGTCTGTGCAAGGACCGACGTGCCGGGCTTGCCCTCTCAGCCCTTTATGCTTCTCTCCCCAGATCGGCCATGGCTCAATGCGCGCGCATGGAGCGCCGCCCTCGCAGTCCCGCCCGGAGTGCTCGATCGCGCGCAGATGTGTGTGACCCTGCCCCGCGATCTCGGGTCATGCATCATCGTCGGGGCATTGTCCCGGACTCTCCCACTTCCCTTGGGCGTCAAGGTCGGTGTTGCACGTCATTGTCAGCAGCATGAGAGTTTGCAAGGAGAGTGTGTGCATGAGGGTTTTCAGGGCAATGCGCCGCGTCAGGTACAAGGGGTTCTGCTCCGGGGCTGGGGGGGGCCAGCAGGTAAGGGATGGGGGGCGACGGGTGCGCCGGCGTCACCGCGCGCCCTTGCTCGCGGCCAGGAGCACGTTGCGCGGCGCGGGCCGGCGGTTGCGGCGCAGCGTGCGGTCCGGGTGAACGACGGCGACGCCCGGCACTCGCGCCGGCTCCCAGCGTGCGCGGTCGTCGCCCAGGCCGAGCTGGCCACAGTCGCCGCGGCCCCAGGTGTAGAGCCCGCCGTCGGCGCCCACCGCGGCGCTGTGCCAGTCGCCCGAGGCGACGCAGACCGCGCCCGCGCCGCGCAGGGCGCGCAGGGGCAAGAAGCGCCGGGCCGCGCCGCGGTCCCCCGTCCCGCGCTGGCCGTAGGCGCCGTCGCCCGCGGCGCGCACCTCCATGCGCCCCGCCACGGAGACCAGGGCCACGCTGTGCGCGGCGCCGCAGACCACC